CGGTTTTCTCGCACCAAAAAACCCCCCACTACGTATTTTTTTCATAAGTTTTTCATAATTTTTTTAGAAAATAGAAATCGTTCAAAATACACCAAAAGGGGTCCATCGAGGTATTTTCCCAATGAATTTGTAGCGCCATGGTTCCCTACTTGAACAAACCAAAGGTCCACATCGTGTTTTTAGGCCTCGAATATGCTAAAACCGGCCTGGAATGTTAAAAATTAAATACTTTTTTTTTTTTGGGCCACCCTAATGGTCCCATTGCAAAACACATTCGTTTTGCATTTCTTTTGTTACATTTGTACTACTTCAAATAACAAAAATCTACACATTTTGTTTTCATTGAATTTGTTTTTTATTTTCACTTTAAATTACCTAAGGGGAGAATCACAAAAGAAAAGAATACAATTAATTTAAAATAATCGAAAATAACTTTAAATTACCACATAATATTGTTCGTTTTTGTTCACATTTAAAGTGTTGTAATTCTTTAATTAAATACGACACATAAATTTTTACAAACTAGCCATTATTGAAATGAATTTTTATAAGTTTTTCTCTTACTTTTCAACAACGTACTACATTTTACTATTTAGACCTTTCCCAACATTTGACTCAGTTAGATTTTATGACATTTACAACAACAAAATAATGACGGTGCAAGGAACTTAGAAGAGATTTTCTCCCATTTTCTTCAGCGAAATTCAAATTATATAATACAATAATTGAAAACAATGCCATGTTTTTCTGCTACGAAAAAAAAACGATTTTTTTTAGCCAATTGAAAATAAAAACATAAATGTCAAATGATTTTCTTTTTGTTAAATTTTATTTCAAGAAACTAACATCTTTTTTCTACATATTTATTATTCTACTACGACTGAAAAAATATTTTCAATTTGTTGGATTCAGTTCAGAAAGCAAAAAGACATTGCGTTAGACCTGGTCTCACATGCATTAATTTGAATAACAACATCTTCTCATGTGTGTGTGTGTGTTGGTGAGTGTTTTGTGAATAACTTAATTTAACTTATTTATAACGCAATAAGAAAAAAAATTGGATTCAACTCAGAAGCTAACGAATAGATATTTGGTATGTTTGGTTTTTATGTATTGATTTAAAAGATTTGATGTCGATTCGAAAATGTTCACAAAACATTTTCACAATCGAATCACTGAATGTTCGCTTCCATTTATTTTTTTTTAGTATTGTGTGATAAACATTAACAAATTGCTCAAAATATGTTTTATTTAAGATTTGAAAATGGTTAAGCTTAATTTTGTTTGAATTTTTGTTTAGTTACAAGTGAATTTTGTGCTGTTTTGCTTTCTTCTTCTTTTTCTTCTTTCATGAAAATGAACAGAAAATTTGATGAAATCATCGATATTGTCATCGACAGAAAAAGGCCAATTTCCTTTTCTGTCAATCTAATTTAAACAATAATAATTGGTACATGAATTTTGCAACCTTATTATATATACCTAGAATTTGTTTGCTTTTTAATTCATTCAATCAATGTCTTCTTTTTTCTCTTGCTTCTCTTTCAAACGTTTTTTTTTAATAAAAATAATTTCTAAAACATGATTTTTTTTTTGTTTTGTTTCCAATGCTGTAGCTGTTGTAATTCCCTTTTCTGACATAATTGTCGTTTATTCTTGTTTTTTTTTTTTTTTTTTGTTATAAATCTTGACAGAGTAATTTAGTAACTACTGGGTGTGTTGATATTTTGCACAATGTTCGTGTGGCCACACTATTCCAAATCGTCGTCCAAATCGAATGTGTGTCGTTGTTCATTATGTACTTCTACGGGTGCTGGTTGTTTATTATTACCATATTCTCTCATTCGTGAAATGAGCAAAGTGAAAACTTGCGATGGCAACGTTTGTTGAAGTACCTATGTACAGTTTTAAAAATGGTAGAAAAATTCGGGCATTTTTAGTTCACCTCTGAATACAGTGACATAATGACAAAACAAATAAAATAGATGAAACTTACTTGCAAAAGTTGCGTGGGTTGACCGCAAACAACAACTGCATTTGCTAAATGAGTTACACCTTGTTCAAAGTCACCACTTGAAATGAGTGCCTCACCGGCTTGGATTTCTTGCAAGAAGAATCTAAATAATGATAAAAAAACATGAAAACATTTCATTATTCCATTCAATACCATTAGTAAAATAGACTAAGGACGCGAATAAATGTTGAATCCTTGATGGCATACAAACACGTACACTCCAGCGACGGTACAGTTATATTGATGACATGTAGCTTATGCTGTATGGTGCGGTGCGTACATTATATAGGCTACTATAACTGTAGCCGACGGAATAATTCAAGGTCAATTTTATTATGATTGCCATTGAATAAGGATAAAAGAGCGTGAAGGTCATGTGGATGTGTGCGTTCAGTTGACAAAAAATCGTTAGTGCCGATTCGATTTTATATATATGATTTGTACCATTAAGGTGTGTAGACAATTCGTTTACGTTTCAGTTGTACAATTTTCACAAACTAAAAATTAATTATCACAAAATTCCAAATGATTTTATGCTAAAATATTATCATGTTTATGCGCATGTACGAATAATTTTTTTTTTAGTTTGTCGTCTCCTTGATATTTGATATGACTATTTTTTTTTTCTTATTCAAAATGTCTAATTAGTTTCAGCGTTCCAATAATCATAACCTCAAAATCGTATGAGATAAAAGGCGAGTATTGTTTTTTTTACACACTAACCACATTAAAATAGCACGCACATTTCTGGTTTGAGTTGTAAAAATAAAAATGGTTGTTTACCTTTGAACAGCTTCATGATCATTCAAATTAGGCAATTCGGTGCGTGACCCTGACTTTCCAGTCGGGCACTCTTTTGCCTTTTGTCTTCCTACTCCATGAATCGCCGATTGATGATAACAAGCCAACGAATAGAAAAAATGGACACATTTTATGATTAAATATTGAAAAAGTGTAAACTACGAGATGTAAATTATTTTGGAAGCAATCTCAATGGCTGGAAGCTGTCATGTAATTACATAATTTTGGCAAATGTGTACTCACGTTCGTATAGCCTCTTTTTGAATCCTGGATCACCACGTCGTTTTTTGTCAAAGTAAATGCAATAGCTTATAAATATGGTGCCAGCAATGCCAGCCGCTATACCCAATGTAACTCGTGATATATCCAAATTCATGTTGTTTCTTTTTTTTCTCGTTTGATCGATTTGATTTGGTCTCCTCTTTGCCTCACAACCCGTGCTCAAAACTCCGTATATGTGTGTGCAATTAACGTAAAAAAATATGATGAGACACAAATCGCGGGTAAAATTATCAAAAAAAAATATACTAAAACAGTAATGACAAACTAAAATAAACGATCGTATTCCCGTTGCAAATAATGTGTTTGCGATAGAAACAAACAACAACGGAAAATAAAATGGAAAGTTTTATTGTCTCGGAGAAGAAAAATGAAGAAAAATCCAAAAATGAAATCGCACGAATTATTAGTGGCACACACAACGAACAACGCATGCACACTGTCAATTATGACATTTGGCCCTGAACGAACCTACCATTCGAAAGTCCTGTTCGAAAACAACAATGTTTTTGAGCACATTTTATCGATTTTTTTTTTTATTTATATAGAATAATGTTGGAGACAAAAGAGAGTTAAAAAAAATAAAATAAAATGATTTACATCATTTCTTTATATTTCTATTTTGATTGAATGAAACTTAAAGCAAATTAATTAAACTGATTTTGTTTTTCGAGTGGCGCCACCTAATAGAATGAAAATCGAAACAAATACAAATGTAGTATAGTTCAAGTTGGCGCGGAAAATGACAGTCCATTGTTTGTATGTTTTTGATATTGTTGATCGGATTTGTATCTAAAACAAATTGCGACAATGAATTCATTTTCACAGGTAAGTTCTGAAATAAATAAAAAAAATTTTTTATCTCCCCATAGAGGAATGTGCGTCTAAATTGTGTGATCTATTTTAGGGTGTATTTGTATTCAAAAATGGTTTGCAAAGCAAGCCAGAGAAGAAACGAAAATCCAAATATGCCATTCCACAATCAACATTCGACTGTGATGAATCGATACGACAATCGAATGAGGAATTTGAACGCACCTGGGGATATATAAAATCCAAAGTTGATGTAAGTATTGTCACTGTTCCACTTCACACACGTATTATAAAGATACTGATGCGAATGCAATTTTATTTATATTTCAGGAGATTCAAGCCAACAACAATGATGGTCATCTTTCGGAGCTGTGTGCTTTTGTGAAAGATAATACATCTGCAGATGACACATCCGATATGACATTTCTGCGGGTTGCAGCTCTTATGACTGGAATCAATAAACCAGATCACCATCAATACTTTCGGCTGCTATCAAATACAATGAACAAAAAGAAGATTGCTCGAACCGTTTTTCTACCAGCTAGAGATTGTCCAAATGTGCGGACGGCAATTGAAACATTGGTATCGTGTTTGTTAAATAATGGACGCAAACACAATTATCGCGATGACGTTGATGTGGTAAGCGATAAAAATCCCTTTTTTATTTGAAATCGCTAAGCGTATTTGTTTTTTTTTTTTTTTCAGCTGGCAGCTAACAATAACAGCCAAACAAACATTGGGTCTGACGATAGTGAGGTGTCTGACAATGAAATGGAAGTGTGTGAAGAAGATGACGATGATGAGCCACCTGTGAAACTGCGAAGAAGTCAATATACCATGGAAGTGCTACAATCTTGGTATAACACAACATTTTCAATGACCGCCGACGAAACAAAACCACAATTAGCCATAATAATGCCGAATTCTGAGGAATTTAAACCAAATATCATCAAAGATTTGGTAATGATTCTGAGGTAAATTCAATAACCAGTTCATTTGACTGACGAACACTAAATATGATTTTGATTTCATTTTCAGTAATCATTGTAAGAGTTTGCCTTTCGTTTTAATACTTGGTGTGGCAACCTCAACAACAGCTCTATTAAATACACTGTCCTTCACCGAAACGACCCGAATCAAATTACGTGTGTTCTCTGGCCAACCGCCGAATCAAATACTCGATCAAATTTTTGATGATGTTATTTTGACACCAAAGTGCCCATTTCAGCTCGCTAGCAATGTGCTCGATTATCTGAAAAGTGTGTTTATTTTCTACGATTTAACGGCGAAAAACTTTTTAAAATCTTTTCATTACTGTCTGCTCGATCAATATTCACGTGGTAATGCATATTCGGTGTGTGCAACCACATTCAAACAAACCCAAAAGAATATAAAACAATTAAAGCACGATGACTTCGAAACGATACGACGTTTGCCATCATTTCGACCGTACGTCGAAGCGATGAAGGATCGCAAAGAATTTCGAAATATAGTCGATATTTTCGAAAATGATGATTTCTTTCGAAAACATTTGATGCACTTAGTACAGAATATCTATGAGTTTAATTTTAAATTTTATGGTTACATTCGGTTCTTCTGGACTTTGGTTAAAGATTTGCCAAAAACACCGTTCGGTAAACGATTGAGTGATATTTACATGTATTGCCATGTGCCAAAGAAAAGCATCACCACAACGGAAGAATTCGATAAATGTTGGCAATTCTTGAGTCTCATGTCAAAAGATGAATTTGTAGCCCTGTTGGAAAAGTGTATCAAATCTTTGGGTGACTATGAAGAAAGCCATGCCGATGAATTCGATAAGACAATTGATGAACAAGTGCTTAAAAACACACAAGATGCTTTTGATGAAACTGCAAGACAGCTAGACATTTTTATTAAGGAGCTAAAACAAGATCGACTGCATATCGAACAAAATCAAAGTACTTCTTCGGCCACTACTTCGAACGAAAACAAATCCACCAATCAAATGTATAATTCACGAACCGAATTTTATAAGAATCTGAAGAAACAAAATCAAGCAAATCGAATCGAAGCAAATAATACAATGCAAAAAGTGCTGGACTTTTTACGTGTTAATGTGGTTGAAAAGTATTTTCCCGCACGTAATCATACGCCGCCATTGTTGGAGCTATTTGTATACTCCGACTATGATAGAGTACGATCAAATCTTCGTGGTACATCACGCAGTGCAATCCATAAGGCTTTGACTGATCCGCATTCATATCTACAGGTATACTACGAATTTTTGTGGAATATTTGGAACGAACAATCAAATAATGTGCATTCTTTTTCAGTGCAAATGCTGTGGCATAGATAATTCAGGTCAACTGCTACCAACAATGCCAGACAATTCGATTGCATATGGATTGTTGCTCGAAAGTGGACAACAAGTAAATATTTATGACTGGTTGAGTGCATTCAATGCCATTACGAGTGATAAAAATGCAGAGGATCAGGAAGATGAAATCAATATTTCACCGGAAATTCAGTGAGTTTTGATCATAGCTCACCGACAGATTTCGTCATCTCATCTTATTGAAATGTTTTTATTTCAGAGCAAAATTTACACGGTCCAGAGCCGAACTTCATTTCATGGGCTTCACAAAGAATTCCAAACGTAAAACTGATCACGTTACACGTACAACTTGGTAAACGATCATCCCATTATACATCATCATCATTCGTCTCTTGAAAGAATCACAAAAAAACATCGCAACAGTCAAAGTATAGCACAAGTGTGTCGTTTTATTTATGCACCTTTATTTTCTTCGTGTCTTGTGCTTGACTTGAAATTTGAAACCATAATTTTAACAATTAGAAGTAGAATTATCATAATTTTAAAACCAGTAAACCTCAAATAAAATCAATCGCCTGAATTTGTTCCGTTCTTCTACTTTTGGATATTAAAATCATTGCCATTTGGTAATTGGTACTCGGAATGGAAACACAGAAAAATGAAAAAATGTAAAAATGAATCAAACCATCAACTAGCCTTGTGGATTTTCTCTGGTATATACTTTTCTGACATAAAGCAAAAAAATTTACTTGTTAGAGTGGCTCTTGGTCTAAAAAGCATTGAAGAAAAATAAATGAATGAAAATTGCATGTGCTCATATTGTCCGGAATCAAACGATCATTTTAACAGAGAAAAACAAAACAATAGGTAATCCAAAATATGATACATCAAACTTTATTTGATTGATTTTTTTCTTTTTATTTAGCCAGCGCAAAAAGGAACGTAAGTATTAAAAACAAAAAAAAAAGGAATTACTATACAAAAACTGAGATTTAGAAAAAAAATAGTTTGAAAGAGTATGTGATGTCAACTTATAACTTCGCATGCTTTCGCGACAGCCTCTGTTAGTGGGTTTTATTTCTTGTTAAAATGGAAGTTACCTCTGTTGAAACTACCTCCATTAATGATCACTTTTGGAATAAACTGTTGAAACTTCATCATAAAACGTAAGACTCATATTCATATTTGCTTTGAGAGGCATCGTTAACGGAAACGATAACGAAGGAAAAAGTATGCACGTAAGTGCTGTTTTCAACAATGTACTTTTTTAAATTAATCGAAAATAATTCAAAGACACGAACATTCGAATGTGTTTGATCAAAAAATGTATGTGATCAAAGAAATGTGACAGAAGATTTTTCAATTTTGAGGTTCATTTGATAACACATTCATTTATCCTCTTTTAAATAATGCATTTCAAATGAATGAATATGAACTAGCATTTAACCGTAAAAAAATGTGATGCGATTGCGCCATCTATCGTAAGTGTCAACAAATACATTGTGACCAATGGATGTTCTGACAACCAAAAATCAATGCGCCATTTTTCTTGTCCAGTAATGTGTGGTGACGTTTAGCGACGTGTAAACTTTCATTTCATACACCCAAAGCATTAAATATTAGACGTGGATTCGTTCATTGCATACCAGTCAGTAAAATACAAGTTGTCGGTCGATTTTTGTGTTCTCATCACTCAAATAATTTGCAGTATTTCTTGTTATCGTTAAAAGACAAATAAATTTAACAAAATGGTAAGTAAATCATTCAATTTTCACATAAAATTTATTTAATTAAATGGATAAATTTATAAAATATGCATAAAATCGGTGATTTTTTTCAATTTGAAAAGAATAGAAAGAATTTTGGTCAGTGTTACTCAAATATACTGAATGTTATGATAAATCTATTCATTTCAATCGAAATTAAATTCGATTTAAACATAAATTAGGAAGAAATCCCATTGAATATCGATTGATTGTGTATTGAATATTGATATTTTGTTTTTGTTTGTGATTATAGCCAGCCCCAGCAAGTTCAACATCGGTCGGTAGTGGAACACGTTCACCAAGCAAATTGGCAAGTCCACGTTCAAGTGCCGGCGGCAGTAATTTGAAACAGCGCAAAACAACAACCACAACAGCTGCCCGTAATCGTACCACCGGCACTGGATCAGGCGGTATGTGGCGTTTCTACACAGACGATTCACCAGGCTACAAAGTTGGACCAGTTCCAGTGTTAGTTATGTCGTTGCTGTTCATTGCATCTGTATTTATGTTACACATCTGGGGCAAATACACCCGCTCATAAGTTCAATCACTAAAAATTCATTTCAATATATTTATATATAAAAGAAAAGGCAAATAAATTTTCTACGAAAAATCTCCAACCCATATTTCAATTTGTTTGTTGATTCATTGAATAGTACCCGTAGTTGGAACTTTCGAGTGTTTTAGCGTATCACAGCAGAATATAGTCAGAAAAACTTTTGTGAGCCTTTTTTGTTTGTGACAGCAAGAAAAAATGGCTATTTATTTGATTAGTTGCATTCTTTTATTGAAAACATTTTTTTCAGTTTTTTTTTCTCGAATTATTCAAAATGTGAGGTCAATCATGGCGCACCAACAATAAAATTTTGTAATCATATATATTTTGGGAAGAAATTAAAAACGAAATGGAAGTAAACACATTTGTATCTGTTTGTTAAATTGGTTTTCAATTTGATTTGAGGAGGGGGTGGGGCCAAAAACTATGAGTTTGACTCACTTGCAAACTGTTGCTTGTTCAACTATTCAATTTAACGCATATCATTGAAAATTTCCATTGTGATGCGACTATTTGATAATCACACCGTACAACTGGTAATTATTATTGCTCGTAAATTCACCATAATTTTTATTAAATTTCTTTTCTACTTTCCAAAGCTCATTTCATATATGAATATCTCTGTATTAATGATTCTCTCTTTCTCTTAATGTAAATATTCGGTCTACGTCTACTTATAATAAACAAAAAAATAATTATTATAAAGTAAATAATACATTTGATCTCATGACAGTATATGAAATATTAATACATTGTGTTAAGCGTCTGCTTGGTGCCGACTAATGAGTACATCAAGCCGTCAACTCGAAGGCATTTTTTTGTTTTTGTTTTCAAAAGAGTACTACAGGATTTGTATTGCAATGTAAAAAAAAACTGAACTTGTTCAACGTATATCGCCTCTTACGTTTTTTTTTTGTACAAATTGGAATACGGAATTAGATAGAATCAATAGCATGTGGTCATTTTATGTTATCATCACAGAGGCGACGATGATTCAAACGGAATAAAAATTACGATCGATTTTCGATTTAATGGTTGGTTTTGTAAATGGCGAAAACCAAGCGATTGAGAATCGTCCAAACACCGACTGAATACTCTTCCAACGTGACTTCTTAACCCAGCTGGCCTCTTCTTTTTTCAATTGTTCGATACCCTGAAAATTCAATCATAAATTCATTTACATTCATCAATTGTTAAATTGGCGACAAATATGAATACAAACCGTTTCATCATTCCAAATGGCATTGATTTGTGTGCCAAGCATTATCAATGTGAATACTGCAAATAATAATGCTTCGAATGTCAAGAATAACAATAGAATAACAGTGGCGGGTGGCGAAAAGAATGAACACTGTTTCCATTCATTTTTAATACATGAAGCAAATTGATTCACAGCCAAAAACATTGCATGACCGCTTATCATTGCGATGTAAAACTATAAATGACACATAAAATTTATTTAAAAAAAAAAACCGGAAAACAATTGAATAAATTAGTAGACCTACCGTAAAAAGAACGAAATACTTTTGATTATTTTCACCGACACAGTTATTCACCCTGAAAAAATAACTTAAGTTTTATATTTATGATGCAAAAGATTATGTTATATCAATTACCATGGGCAATGATGGTCCATTTTTCGTATGCTAAAAAATAAAGAAAAATAATTAAACATCAATGAATGTGGAAAATGAACGCGGATCGCTGAGATACCAACCATCTTTGACAAACCGAACAATGATGTGCACGCTCCGGTTTGATGCTACAACATTTTGGACATTTAAAAAACACCTGACCCTCCTTGAAACCTAATTGTTGAATCATTTCTTTAGTTGCATTCCCTTTTGGCACAGCACCCTGCGGTCAAGCGGCGGAAATTCAATTTAAAAAAAAATCCACTCATTTGAAGCCATACGTATGTTGTGCTTCGGTTTACTTACCGGATCCGAAAACATTGTTCGAATATGAGATGCATATGCTAAAAATGCCAATAGATTGAAAATAATCATATTTATTGTGCTGTACACCGGATACGGGCTGGGCAATATTATGACAACCATAACGACAAATTCAGCATACAAAATGAGCAGCCACGTGAGACAGGCGCATATTATTCCACATATGTCCTATATTGTTTATTGGTGAAAAGAAAATGGAAATATTTGAAGAATTATCGGTCATAAAAGGTTTCTAGGTTTATTGACGGTTGTTAATGTCTTGTAAAAATAACAATTTTTTTTTCATTTACCTGAACACACCAAGCTCGTCCGCCACAGCATCGATTATGCATATCTTTGCCATGAAAAGGTCTATATTCATAATCCATATCACAATAAAATTGATTTCTATCTATTTATAAACTGTAATAGTTTTGATTTTTCTTATTTATTAAAACGCTGCTGCGCCGAAAATATCCACAAAAAATGGTTGCCGCACCAGCACACATTACATCGTCTTAATTGCTTAACAATTCATGATTTGTGATTGCTATCGGTGATATCGTGTTCAGTAAATTTTCGCACTAAATTTAATTTATGCACACAAAAGCACACGCAGAAACGGTATGGAAAAACAATGATCTCACTATTACAAAATTAAATTATCTAACATTTACTTATTTGATTGCAAACAAAATACAATAACGCGTGGTGGTCTTCAAATCATTGCTGTTGGCCAAATTTCCTACCCTCGCGATGTTCCCAATATCTGTTGTTCAAGTACTAATGGCACAGATGAAATGAAAAAAAAAAACGATTACAAACAATCGGTCGAGACGACAATTTTCTTCGGAATGTTTAATGACCAATGTCGACTGGAAAATATATGCAACAATGTGCTGGACATTTTTTGCCGTCTATACCAACTAATTCAATTAAAAAAAGACATAAAAGTATGTCAAATGGTTTTCTTTCTTAAATAAATCAATGGATGGACCATAGATGAATCAGTATAAAATTCCATATTTGCATCGACCCCATTTCGAATTGAATTGTATTGTTCGAGCAAATGGAATTGCAATACTATATATTTTTTATTTGCGTATTCGAATATTGATCGAAAACATTTCGATTGTGGTAAATATGAATTAGTTTTGAATAAATGTTAAGTTCATTCACTTACCGTACACACCATACAAACACCATACAATATGCAAGGGTCGGTTTATTCTATCATTCATTAAGTTTAACACACCGTTTGTAAAATACAAACAAATCGAAAAACCAAATAGTTTTTTTTTTGGTCTTCTTCTGAAATTAATACACATTCGAAATTATTTAATTCAAAAAAAAAAATTGTTGGTTTTGACAGTTTGACAGACGAGATTTTTTTTCTTCTTCTTTCATTCATACTCATTCTCTGTCTGTTGGTGCTCTGTGTATTGAATGCGATAACAGCAGATATACATTTGGATATATGCGCGTATGACAAAACGAGTCATACGGTCTATATGTGTTCGCTCATGTATTTGTAAAGAACTTGCATTGGTGTGCGCCGATCACGCGAGCTCCCTATTTACACGCAACAAAAACATTATTTTTTTTTTCAACCGAAATAAAAGAATCTATTATATTATTACTATTTGATAGCATATATTTTTTTGCATACATTTTATTAACTCTTCTTATTCTTAAAATATAACAAACACCACCAAAATCAGTGTATACAGGGTGTGCCAGTGAAACTGATATTTTTTTTCGTAACTACGTAGTTACAACTATATTGCTTTCCAATCACTCTTTTGTTTACCGTTATGTTTATTCATGTTTTGACTATGCACTGTGATGATGGACATTATTGCGCAGTTCTTGTTTACTTTGCAACAGCAATGGATGTGAAACGTCAACTCGTTTTGAATTTGCACAAAAAAGGTTTGCGACAAGTTGATATTTTTCGGCGGCTTAAGAGCGACAATATCAATTTGTTATTTATTCATCGCACCATAAAACGATACCAGGAACGCGGAACAGTCGATGTGAAGCCAAAACCGGGCAGAAAAAAATCTGTACGAACAAAAGATCTGATCAAAAGGGTACGAGAAAAAGTTCGTCGGAACAGCAAAAGAAGCGCTAGAATCTTGGCTCGTGAGCACAATATCAGTCACACTTCAATGCGACGAGTGTTAAAAAAAGATTTGGGAGTGAAACCATTCAAAAAAAATCCGAAAACACGATTTAACAATCAAAAATAAGCAAGACAGAAAGCGAAAATGCAAAGAACTGCTACGCCGGCGCGCAACCTCAAACATTGTTTTTTCAGGTGAAAAGTTGTTTCTTTTGCAGCCGAGTCTCAATGCGCAAAATGATCGCGTTTATGCAGCGACAATTGAGGACATTCCTGAAGATGATTTAGTCGTTGAACGATTTCAAAATGTGTCAAGTGTCATGGTTTGGGCCGCCGTTTCAGCCGACCACAAATTTCCCTTTGTTTTCGTTGAAAAAGGCGTTAAAATTAACGCAGCTGTGTATGAAGAAGAAAGCTAATGATCTGAAGATTAAGAAAATCACAAAATTGGATACATTCAAAAAGAAAATCGTCAAGATTTGGAACGATATTCCCATCGAAATGGTGCGCGCCGCGTGTAAATCGCTTTTACGACGTTTGCGTTTGGTGGTCCGTGCAAATGGAGGAAGAATCAAAACCAAAACATGAATATAAAATTTTGGACCCTATTCTAAATCTCAATAAGCATATATAAAAATATCAGTTTCACTGGCACATCCTGCAAGAGAAAAAAATGTGTGAATTATTGAAACAATTTGTTCATCAGCCTTTTAACAATATTCCAATTGGAATCCAAACCAAATAAAAAAAAAAAATCAAATATAAAAATAAATTGAAACTCCCCAAAAATGACCGAATTGATTTAATATTTTTGATTTTAAAATGTTTATGACTTTATGACGGTTGTAATTTGGCAGCCGGTTGAAGAAGAACAATAATTGCGGCAATCGATGATATTACACCTAATAAACCAACGGTACGCGGTTTTAATTTCGTATAACCAAGTGCCGTTAATGGTATAAAAATATCGCACAAATTCTTTGTGGTGTCAATGAAAATGGCTCGATTTTCATAAATATACGCATACAATCCGAGTGATAGTTTGGTCAGATCCTGTTTCGATAGGGTTGTAATGTGTGAGTTTGTATCGAACATCCATCGATATAACGTTTGTTTTGTTCTTCCATTTCCCGCATTGATGGTTCGATCAATAAGTTTGGATAATTCATAAAAATCACGGCATAAATTCATAACGATTGAGACAAACCAATATTTGTTGGCGGTATCATTCCATTTTTTGGCATCAATCGATTTGGTCAGACCGGTTCTTGACAACCAAATTATATGATCCGCATACAAATACAATGCCGTTGCAATTTTACTAAGTGTTAGCGTCAATCGAAGTGTTATATTCGTGTGATGAATGGTGCGTTGGGCGGCGTACAATAAATCAATGCATTTTCCAAATCGTAACACTGAAATTGAGCAACGTTGTCATTTTGAAAATTAGTAAATCAAATCATCTGAAAATTTTAATAATACGCTTACATTTTCGAAATGAACTAAGGAGGTATTCGAGTGTTTTTAGTTTGTCAATAAGTTCGGCATTCGATGGTCGAATTCGCATGCTATCCCATAATGCGCGACATGCATACTGAATTAATCTGATGGAAATAGCAAATCGAATGTGATAAACATGTTTTACATTTGATAAATAAATCTCATCGTTTACCTTGCAATTTTATCTCGTCCATCGCTTTGTACATTCAAACGAACCAATTTATCTAAATACAGCTCCATGTTAGATTGAAAAAAGAAACGTATATGTTTATTTTTGTTTAACGAATACAGTTGAATCAAGACGAGTCTCTATCAGATCACGACGCAATTTCTCGTCTCCTTTGTACTACATGTATTTGCCGAATATCAAAACAATAATCGTTTCTTTTTTGTGTGTTTCATCAGCTATTTTGACACTTCATGTGTATTCGTGTTTATCTTGATACACACAAATACCACCGCATTCATACTGTCATAGTTTATGGGGTTTGTTCATGGTATGCCGTTGGAAATGAAATGTCAAAACAGTAAACGTTGCTATGTTGGCGCATGCGTGTCGATTAGTTTTGTTTTTGTCCACTATTTTGTAGTCGTTTTTTTTCGTATGTCTGATGAAGTGCCTATGTTGACATTTCCAACCGAGTTAAATCAAATAAATACATTCAAGTGTACATCGAACTCATTCAAAATAAATTAACATTTTTATCAATTATTTAAGCAAAAACGACGACACAAATCAATTCAGACATAAAGTGACAACCGAACAGTGTTAAGATTTATACGTATTTTTTTGTTATCAATTCCATTTATTATATATAGTTAATCAAGACTGAACAAGTACAATGGCTGTAAGTAAAAAATAATAACAATTGCTCAATTTTAAATGGTCATGAATTTGAAGAAAGACTAATTCATTGTTTCGGGTCTATCGTCGAATTTAGCCACAGAAAGGAAAACAAGGAACCAAAGGTGCCAAACAAATAGTCGAAGAAAATGCGGCCACCTTGAAATTTTATCAATATATGGCGGCCGGTTCAACCACTATATTCTTTTTAATGAATTTTTTATTTTTTGAATTCACCGGAACAGTATCGGTAAGTAAAAAATTGGTCGATGTAATGACATCGAAGAAAGATTCTTATCGATATCATGTTTTAACATATGTTTTTTTCGCTTTTCACGTAGGCGATGGCATTTGTTTCTGTTGCAATCATGCTTGGCTCTTATCAATTTATGGCATTTATGTCGAAAGCAAAGTATACCGAAAGCGGCGTTTTACTGGACAGTGGAAGTGATTTGAATATGGAAGGTGGAATTGCTGAGTATGTGTTGGAACATTTATTTTTCCTCTCTTGAATTGGCCGAACGAAATTTTTAATGAAATCTTTCTTAATTATTCGACAGGAATGTCAAAGATTTAATCATTCTAACGTCAGGTACACAAGTGCTGTCGCTGATCTCGAATTGGTTTTGGATTTTGTTGTTGCTGGCACCAGCTAGAGCCATTTGGATGTTATGGGGATCAGTGATTCAACCATGGTTAAGTCAACGAAATGAACAACCAGAAGTCGATGAGAAAAAACAAAAGAAACTTGAACGAAAGATGAAACGCGAACAAAAATTTAGATGAACATGAGATTGGAAATGAGTTTAGTTTAATTGTGTGTAAGAATGCCTTTTTTATTAATTTATCAATCACTCCACGAATGTATACAAGTGAACATTCAAGTGAACTATAGATGAAATCTTTTTTTTTTTTTTCAAATTGAGTGTGGCAAGTAAAAAATTCTTGTCGAAAAATACAAAGGGACAAATTGAGATAAAAAAAATTAAAACTGTATTTATTTTTTAAACCAAATGAAATTGATAATAAAGATGGAACAAAGCCAACAAAAAATGTGGTCTTTCATTCGATTTATTACACATAATTTTGAACTGATGCGGAAAAAATGAGATGATGTGCTAATGTGTGTGCATCAGTTTTGAGCAATAATAAATATTAAAAGTACCATCTCAGCGTCTATTTATATGACAAGCCGGCATGGCATGTATTACATTAGAATGAAAATGTGCGCTATTTATGATGTGCGACGGCAGTTGTGGTAATTTCAATATTTATACCGGCATTTGGTGTGGTTTACCGGGATCAACATACTACGGCTCTGTAGAGAAGAGAGGAAAAAAATGGGCATCAACCGATTACAGTTGTACAGTGTATATTCGCCAATTAAAACAAGCCAAAATGGAATTAGTAAAATTAGCGAAAGAATTCCGTTAGACGGTCGTCTGAGAAAGACAATGATGCATGAACTCGCTCTCTCACTCTCTCTCTCTCCGTTGTATATATCTATTGATGTGATGTCCGATGTGCTCTCGCTCATCTGGCGAACAAATGATGAACATAGTTCTATGTCTACTCCACGTCCATATCCACAACGTAAATACATCTGTGCTCTCGCGGCTCGGAGACACATTGAGATCGTACAAACGACAGTGTAAGCTATTCAATACACACGCGCGCCATTTACATATGCATATTTTCATTTTCAGACCGGACCAGAGAAATATCATTACGTCTTCGCTTATTTTTAGATTAAGTTCAGTGTGTATCATTTTTCCTGTCGATCGAGACGCACACACCGAACCGAGATATATAGAAAATTAATAAGCAACAAAAAAATTTCATCAAATTTTTCGGTTTTAATTCGTTGTGAACGTTTTTATTCGATTTTCGTGTTATTCGCATTACCAAATTCAAATTCAACATTTTATTCCATGTAAAACGATTATCAAGTGGTGAAAATGTGACTGTAGCTCCAAACCGCCCTTCGCACATAACAGAGGAAGATTTGAATATAATGAAAAAATGAGACACCAATTTCGTAACGAATACGATTTTTTTATTTTTTGATAAGGATCAAAAGTGATTGTGATTTATCGAATATTTTAATCATATTAATTATTTGTGTATTGATTTGGGACGTTGAATGATTTGTTTACATAGTGCCCGACAATAGTTTGGTTTGGAGCAACTTTGTGATCAATTGAAAAGTATTTGGAAATTCCAAATACAGAAGAACATCGATCGAATTGGAAAATTTCGCATTATTTTGGGCGCAGTTTTTCGCGCTCCAATTTGAGCGAGTGTTAGTGTGTGTATGTTTTATTTGTATATGTGTGCGTGTGTGTGCGTCAATATATCACATTGTCAATCAATTTGATGGTATTTTGTACCAAAGTGATCGTAAATCAATTTACGATTAACACAAGTCAACGACTCGTCACTTCGGTTTTAGATCGACAGTTTCGAGAAAGAAAAACACCGAGAAACACTTTTATGACTCACACTGAACAATGGATAATGGTTTGTATAAAAACACTATCGACATTTTACAAAACGAAAAATTTTCATTTTCATAAGTGCAAATTACGCAATCGTTTTCGTTGCAGTTTTTAATGGTACACACACAACGCAAACAATATAAATTAGATTAGTTTAGACACCGCAGTGTCTAAATATTAAAACTTATACAGTATCAGCCTATGAAACTTTTATCTCTATAATAATTTATATACAAATTGGAATAAAAATAAAAAAATTGATGCTGTACTGTATACATCCAAAGTTTAGACACTGTGGTGTCTAAGGCTTCATATTGTTTTATTTCTGTGTACAATCATAACGGATAATTCAATGCTGAAATCCCATATATCGAATATATTCGAAAAAATTACTGGTACAATGGAACGATCAATGAAACAAAGTAGTAGAAAAATACACAAAAGAATGCAATTTAACCTGTTTGATATTTGGAAATGCATTGGGAAAATCTTAAAATAGTACAACAATGACATAGAAAAATTTGAGTAAAAGAAAATCCGATAGCTATTTTAAATTTTGATAAAAACGTTGCAACGACTACACAGTGGCTGTAGGTACCAGATGATTTGAGTATGTGATGTACTAGGATCGAATCTTAATTAGATTTCTTCTCGAATTCCAGTCCCAATCTGCATCAGAATTTCCAATCCCAAACAATAATAGGTTCAGACAACAATGCTGTCAATGTAATTTGTTATAAAATAAAATTGGGAAAAATGAAGAAATTAAAAGTAAGAATCTTGTAACAGTAATGTTAGTTAGCTATTAGGATCTCATACAAACGGTGTCTAAAAAACTTCGTTCAAAACTAAATGTAGCATTTTCAAATGTATTTCAAAAAAAGGTCTTGGCTATTCCAGATGGGTGTTTATTTTCGAAAACATCCATCGATTCACGCCATTCGACCATTTGAATTGTATGCTTTTTTTACTTTCTTTTTACGAACTATAATTTTCGACTGGTTATTTATAGTAGAGTAAGCAAAGCGATAAAATGTTATTTTTATAAGACGAAACGATGAAAAAAAAATTATAATATAAAAATACTACAGTTAACATCAATGGCAAAAAGTGAAAATACAGGAGTAAATTTTTAACTGCAGACTTGCTGTGATCAATGTATTTCGGGTGCATTCGATTCTCGTCCTGGCTTTTTGATTTATGAACAAAAAGCAAACAAAAAAATTTGCATCTGGCGAGTCGCAATGTTTTTTTTTTCGCAAAACGAATGCTAGCTTATATATAAGTATGGGCTATTTATACAAAATGCACGTCTATCTGTCTGAATATCTGCAACATTAAAATTGAAGTGATGTTCAATCCACTCGAATCTAATGCGTGGCAAATGGCAATTTTACAGTTATTTAAATAATATCACATTTATGCACCAGGAAGTGAACATTGTGTTATTTAACTATTTCATATAGCCTCCTTTTCGTTTATTTTTCAACATGAAGAAAAAAAGATTCGAACTAATGTAGCCCGTTCATTTCAAATGTCTTCGAGATGAAATATAAAACAACACTTCATTGCATTTATCATATGCAAAAATAAATACTTGGCACGCTATTTCAACTTACTGAGACAACAATTTATTAACAATCTGCATTTTTCAAGCATCTCAAAAAAAAAGTTCGATAACTTTTTCACTTGATCAATTTAACGAACATGCCTACAAAATACTGATTTTGAAGAAAGATGCTTAGTTGTCACTCATTTGAAGCATTCACTTCTGCGTGGCTTAATATACGCGCAAAGTTTATAATATAGGCAAAAAAGTCGGAAAGGATTCAAAAAGATAAACCATTGCGAAATATGAAAAAAAGGATCTAGAATGAACAAAATGACTGTCTATGACTATTGTCTATATTATATTATATCCATAGTCTCGAAAAGTAAAAAATATTAGTTTGTATGAAAACTAGTCGATTGAGTAGCTTATCATTTTGGAATATTTTGGATTTTTACAATCCACCCATAGCTGTCCGCGAACGTTCGTTCGTTCGTAGAATATTTTTTTGGTGTTTTTGTTCGTTCGTTCGTTCGTAGAAAATGAGTTGTTCGCATTGTTCGTTCGTATGTTCGTACGAACAACGAACACATTCGTTCGTTCATAATTTATTTTCTCAATGTACACAAATATTGCGATAATAACTGTAAATTGGTATAACTTTAAATCGATTTTTCCCACTTTTCCGATGGGAAATCGTGAAAAATAAACAAAAGTGTTTCGATGGCCTAAAGTCCAAATCCAGTGGAATTCGGCTGATCCATGGATTCTCAGGATTTGACCTGGATTCCAGAACTTCCATAATGTATTTACAATTAAAAATCAGTGTTTGGTTAAGATATCTTATCTCGTTTGAGATAGTAAGATAAGATAAGATAGATACTATCTTATTTTAGAAACTTAAAAAATCATCTTATCTTTATCTTATCTTTTGGCTTTTTTTGGTATCTTATCTTTATTTTTTAAGATAAATAATAAGATATTTTGGTCATTTATTTAAAAAAAAATTCATCAATTTCATGACTCGATTCGTCAAAATTATATTCGAATTCTTCGTTATTAAATTCAATTGCACGCTCATTGAAATCAGGTCATGGGGTCATTCACGAAATTCTAGTGCATCTAGTTTTTGATAAGACTTCACTAGAAAACTAGAAAATTCTAGTGCGTGAAGTTGGCTCTCAGTATTTTTTCATATAAATTATATGGCCTTTGGCGTGAAGTTGGCTTCGTTTGTGACATCATTCTTCACACTAGATTTACTAGTTTTTCTAGTATTCACTAGCGTGATTCGCCCCATGAATCAGGTTGATTGCATTCAAGAAATTTCGAGAAATTCACCTTCGTATTGCATAAATGGCATAAACTCGAATCGCTTTGCAAAGGGCGCTTCCATCATCCGTAACAATATGTGTTATTTTGTGCACTGGCAGATCATATTTTTAAAGGCTTTTATAAGTATTTTGGTCAAAGCATCGTATGATTGTTTGCCATTCTGATAGGACGATAAATAGTGCACAGTAATGCGTATAAAACTACGATTTTTCGATAACATCGAATTTGGAATTCCATCGTGTTACGCACGGTGTTCGCAGAACAAATCCGACAACTTCAACGCACGGTTCATGGGCCCGATTACTCCGACCGATTAATATCCACAGTGCGTGAAGTTTGTTTATAGCAGATATTAATTAACATTCTTTTTTTCACCTTGACATTTTTTCAAAATTTTATTCAAATAATTTTCGTTATCTTATGTTTTTATCTTATCTTTTCGAAAGATATCTTATCTTTTATCAAAAAGATAAGATGAGAATCTTGAAAATATCTAGATGAATTTCGGAAAATTGAGATACTATCTCAAAAGTATCTAGATACATTTCAGATATCTTAACCAAACACTGTTAAAAATACAACCAATTACACGAAGAATGGATTTTTTATAGAATATCATTGAACCGCTCGGGTGTTGTGGCTCCAATTTATATTTATTATCGCAATATTTGTTTACATTGAGAAAATAAATTTCCATAAATTACGAACGAACGAACGAACAAAATATACATTGAAAACGAACGAACGGTTCGTTCGTTGGTGTTCGTGGACAGCTATGAATCCACCACTAACTTAGTTAATTACCTAAAGTTATATTAGATTTTGTACGGATACAATCATAGTTGGCCAGTCATCCAATTTGTGGCAAAATAATTAGTTACTTTTTACACACGGGTTTTGCTCTTTCATTTTTTGAACAAACAAAACAAGAGGACGTATCTTATTTCGAAATTGTTTACTGTTACACTGAATCTGCTGAGAAGTTGCTTTCCTAGTGATCATGCAATGATTTAAAAATGCCAATAAGTTGAAAACAGTCAACAAATGTCATACTTTTTGGATAACATTTTAAATATATTATTAATTATTAAATATACACCTTTATTTCGAGTATAAATAAATATGTTCTTTTCTATTATTATATTACAGAGATAATTCGATTTTTGGATGATACTTTGACTGTATTACGACATGTTCCGGGTGAGAATGCTGTTTTAATTGTGAAATATGATCAACCGCCAAGTCATTGTTTACCACTTGAATTCACTTGGTAAGATTTATTTGCATAAGATAAACGAAATGTAATGAGCTTATGAACAAGAAACCGACGGTATTTCAAAGACGCTTGCGTTTAATTCACACACAAAACTAAACGGACTCACTGCAAAAATATGTGCACGTAAATAAAAACAAATTAAAATATTTTGAATTGATTCGAAAAAGATCATATTGGTTGTAGTAGTAAATTTTTAAATGATTTGATTACAAGCATCGCCACATTAATGTGAATTCTCTTAAAAGTTACAATTTAGTTGCATTTTTTATACTATTCGTCACACTTGAAGCGTGCATCCCATTTATTTTGATTGAAATTGGGCTTTGTGCGAATTGATGGGGGAGAAAAATTGCACGTATTTCTAGTGTAATTTAGAGCAAACTGCAATTTGACCTTTGACTCATCAATAGCGACATACATTCAGTTCATGACTCGTTTCATTTAAGTAAACCGAAGAAATTTTTTTTACTTCCGATTTAATGATTCGAATTAAAGATTTGCGTAATACAAACACATTGTCAGTGTCATTTGTTTGTACACATTTACAAGCAGAAAATGGATCACATTACGACACAAATTAGGTGCATGCACACCAAATGTCATATTGATTTAAAAAAGAGTTGGACTTTGGTTGAGATCTTCGGATCGATGCGATATCAACTGGAGGATGTGAATAAAAAAACGTGTGTTTTCATTATAACAAAAAAAAACTATTTGGGTAAATTAGAAAGCATTGACGGCCACAAATGAGTCAATAAGAGTATTTATCAAGAGCGTTTCAATCAGTCTGGCAACCTGTCGACTCAGTAAAAAAAAATTAAAAATAATTTTTTGAATTCAGAGAATTTATACATTGAAAGATTATTGGCCAATGACTATGGTGTACAGATTGATGCTTTCTGTGCGCGAGATCTTTTGCTATTTTCTCGCATTCTCCCATTTTGTGTTTCGTTCTCTTTTTCGTACCCATTCTTTATAATAACCATAGCGCATGTGCACGTTTCCTGTTATTATTATTGTTTTCGTTGACTCGTTCCGATTATTTTCTTTTTATTCAGCTTTTTCGCATTATACACATGTAGCTATACAATGTTGATGTGTATCGTTGCCTATCGTTGCCTGTATGTATTTCGTATTTTTACTTCGATGAATTTTCAATTGTTTCATTCGTTTTCACGTTTTTGTTTCTATCATCGGTTGCCTTTGAATTCCATTTCGTTTATGTTTAAGAATATTTAGCACACACAAACGCGCGCGCGCTGTATGATTGTTGCCTTAAAACAACGCCTTTGCTCTTTTTCTTTGATTTTAGTTGTTATTGTTGGTGGTTTTGTTTTTCGCTTCGATTTTCTTATTTGTGTTGCGGTTTTGTGTGTTTGTAAACTGAATATTCACATTGAAACAGCCTGAGAGATGAAAGGTCCAAGCTATGCGAATTTTCATTGCGTCGAAGCTCAATGGCTTCTAGAATTATGATTTGGACTGTGAACATCAGTACGAATTTTCCGATCGGTTTACCAAGTCGCGCATGCACACTCACATCTATACATTAAACGAATAACGAATCCGATCCCTTTTGCGTGGACAAAATAAGTCGAAAAAAATATCAATGTGAATTCATTATCTTGTGTTTTGGTTTTTTTTTCATTGCTTTTGCTAAATATCTTTTTTGTTTCTCTTGAATTTGTTTGTGACTGTGTTGAAAGATTGAACAAGTGCAAATGAATACAATACAAAAGCTCATCAAAGCAAATGATACATTTTCGTTGCAAAGGATCAGTTGAAATGCATAAACTTAAAACAAAACGGTTTTTGTCGGGTCTCAATTTGCAAAAGATAGCTAAATCGAAACGATACATTTCCGTCTCATTTTCTTCCTTTCGCTCGGCTAATTAGTGTTAAAAATAGTTTGGTGTCATATCAAAATAAAAACTGAAATAAAGCACAACATTAAAAAAAAACATATGTACCTACATCATCGCTTGCCTTTGCACACTCAATTCAATTATTTGATTCTTCTTAAACGTACCTTGACTATTGTTTGAACCACTTTCTTCCCGTGTGACATAATAATAATGGTTTAAATTCATTTTAAAGAAAATTACAAACATTTCTGGAGTGAAAAACGAGGACTTCAAAAAATGGACTATTCTCAAGTATAGTCAAGTGTACATTGCTTTGTTACATCATTACATTGGATGTTGGATTGTATGATTTCAATATTTTTTTAAAAATAAAACAAAATAAAAACACTAATCGGTTGATTGATTTGTGGCAGTGAATTGAGATTTTCAAGTGCTTCTTTGATATGCCCCAGTAATAACACGCAAATATCGCAATACACATATTTCGGCATCGTGGTTATGAAAACGCATAAGCAATTGCGCGCTCACGCTCACGCTCACGAACAAACAAGTGTGACCGAATCAATGCAATTGATGCCAAAAATTAAACATTGTGCCCATTGATACAGTTTTTTTGTGAATTTTTTTTTTTCAATGTAAAGCGGCTACACGATACACAAAATGTGGACTCGAATTTCACGAATCCATGTTTTATTTTAGTGAAAACGAATGACCATCTAACGGACATCTCAAAACAAAGTCAATATACCACAACGACGTGCACACAAAAGAGAAAAAAAGATGGGGAAAAACACAGAGTGTGAGAGGGAGAATGATTTCGTTATGTATTTAGATCGTTAACAATAACGAACGCCAATACCAATAATAAGCCGAAATGAAAAAAAAACTTTATGAAATGCTGCTACAAAAATAATATTTCGGTCTTAGAATCGATGATATTTTTAGATGAATGCGCGTGAACAAGATAATAAATACTGAATAATGAAAATACAATCTGTTTTACTCTTTTACGTGAATTTGTTGTTATGATTTGTTGATGATATTTATCTTGTTTTCGTCACATTTTTTCAACTTCAGTTTTTGTAGTTGTTGTGTTTGGTTTGAATGAAAGCATCGAACATAATAATTCATTTAATTCGCGGTCAAATTGAAATATGAAGGAGCCCAATGAATTAATGAATTTTATGCAACAAAAATAGAGTAATCCGAAAGACAAGAGCTGCTATCCATCAAATGTGTACAATTTTCGTTCCTCTTCTCATTAATAAGTTACATCAATTCGAGACGTGATTGTTTTCATTCTTCGGCCGCGTGATCATTTCAACCATTTTTTTATTTGGCTGAAAAATTACGAGATTTCAAAGACATTTCTTCTCGCTGCATCTTTTCTTTCATTTTTTCCCCTATTCTCTCTCTCTGTGTGTGTGTAAAGAGCTACACGATTTTAAATATTTCTACATCAAACATAGTCAAAACATAACAAAATGCAATTTAACGAACAAATTCACATTTTTTTTCGGATGTCATTCTATTATTTCACTCTGAGCCGTTAGGAATTACATGCATCGCTGACTGCTGATTCTTTTGCAAGCGAATCCCCCAGTATTTAGAAAACTAAAATAAATAAAAAAGTGATGAAGAAAATTCTATTAAATTACCCTCGACTCGATTACGTAAAATGATATAAATATAATTTGAAATTTTTGTAATGTACTTTGTAGTGAAGTAGTCAACAAAAGCAGAAATTTATATCGAAAACCACAAAGCTCTTGAGCTATTCTCGTTGCAATGAACATTTGATTGACAGCCATGATTGTGTTTGTAGTGCATCAATTAATGATCAGCATAAACAAAAAATAATAATTATTTTTGTTGTTGTTGTTTTGAACTGTGAATAAGTTCAAATACTTTGTGCGCGAAAATAAAATAAAAAATATCGGCACATGAAATGGGCAATAAATGTTCAACGTGTTGCCGTTGTGCTTGTTGCACAAATGGTAATAAATCACATGGTCACATTTCATCGGCTGGATCTGTTTACAGTAAAAGGTTTGCATTTATTCTTAAGTCGTATAATTTGTACTATAAAACACCAAAGGAAATCGTTTGAAGAAACGAGGAAAAACACACGCACGCACGCACGCTTTCGTTTGGATCAATTCAATAGAATTCGTCACTGATGGTTTAGTGAAATGATTAAAATGACTACAAATATGACGTTGAAAGGTATTCGAAAGTATTCAGAGCATTTTTGGCAACCAGTCAACAAATTTCACAGTAACAGTTGTCGACGATTAACATTATTGTTCCATATAAACTTTATGAATTCTATAAATTGCATGAATGGCAGCACAACGGAATTTTTATGTGTGTGCGTGTGTTTGGTCGGGTTTGGTTTCGGTGACGACAACAAATTGTACCGAACATAATGTTTCCGCCATATTGATAATAAATTTGAAAAAAAGAAGAAAAATGCCAACATTAGAAATGAAGTGGCAGGTCAGTTCATCTGGTATGTGTCTAGAGAATATGAATAATGTTAATTATTGGTGACGCAAATGCATATCGAGCAAAAATTATTAAATGTTTTTAAGATGTAGGTGTAAGCAGACGTCGTTTATTCGTGTTTCTGTTATGGATGACGATATTCTCTGCGTCATTTACCAAACATATGCGTCAAAATATTCAAATTAAAAACAAAAAAAAACATATAACAATTGACACATATATATTACACTGATTCTCTCTTTCTTTCACTTTCTTAGGAAACGAGATGATTTTCCAATCGAAAAATCGGAACGATATCGCATTGCACAAAATAAAAATGCCATTCAATTAGCTTTAGATCATGTGCAGCGTGAGGATGCTGGACACTACACACTATTCGCGAAAACGAAAACCGGTAAAATTTCACGAAAAGACATTGAATTAGTTGTCGAAGATAGATCAAGCGGCGATGATCCGCCCACATTTGTTCGCCGTCTGACCGACCTGTCTGTCAAAGTTGGTACACGTACCAGACTCTTAGTGGAGATTCGAAGCTCATCACCGGTCAAGGTAATTTTGAATTTGTTACCAAATTTGTAATGTCCACAGCTGTGACTCCGCCCATTTGGCTATAAAATCTAATGTGAAATTGAAATCAATGTCGTCGTTATTATGTTATTTCATTTTGTTCATAGGTTACATGGTTTCGAAATGATCGTCGAGTATGTGAAAATAATCATGTTCGTTGTGTGAATGAAGGGAATTTTTATTGCATGGAATTGACACCGGTCAGTTTGGATGATGTTGGACGATGGATGTGCATGGTTGAAAATGCAAGCGGTAGAAATTCATGTTTGGCTGTTCTCAATGTGCTGGTACCAAAAGCGTACAAAGCGCCCGAATTTGTTGAACATTTACGTGCTCTGCTCACCGAACAAGGAACCGTTTCGTTGGAATGTAAAGTAATTGGTGTGCCAACACCATTTTTAAGATGGTTCAAAGATTCAAAAGAGATAAAAGCGGGCGATGTATTCGCATTGACAGCAAACCCAGACGACCCGACGTCACTGGGCACTTATACATGTGAGGCGGTCAATTGTATGGGTCGCACCTATTCCAGTTCAAAATTGCATGTGGTTGGTAAAGGAAGTCGTGAAGGTTCACTCAAACCAGCTGATAGTATGAATCATCATGGAACACCGCCGATATTCACCGATGAATTGAAAAATTTAAAAATAAAACTTGGCGACGCAATCACCTTGGCGACACAAGGTAAGTGTGCGTGTATGCGTTTTAAAAACGTGTAACAGACCATACACTAGATTTTATTAATACCACTACTATCTTTGTTATTGTTATTATTATTTGCCGATCACGAAATTTTCTTCGCTTGGTTTTGATTTCAAAGCGTAAATAAATATATGCGATTCGAAAAATTCCGAAAGCTGAAAGCTCTACGTGTATGTCGCCATCGTTAAAACAAAATTCTTGGACGCGTTCCAAATGAAATAATGTACCGTTGTTGTAATTACCTATAAGTCACACACGCATTCACGTAATCATATTGAGAAACTGACTGCGATCGATGATAATGAGAGAAAATTAAAAAAAAGCGAAATTTATAAATCATTTTTTCTTTTCTTCTTTTTTATTGTTGATTTTTTTTTACATTGTAGTGGTGGTACCGCCGTGGCCAAAATCAGTTGTATGGTACAATAAGGGAGGTCGTGTCGAAGCCAATGAAAATGTTCGCATAGTTGAAGATGGCTTGGGAATGTATATGATCGAAATAAAAGAGTCAAATAGCAACGACGAAGGAGAATGGAAAGTAGTTGTAATCAGTATTGATGGAAGTGTCGGTATTTCAACCTGCACCGTTGAAATGGACATTCCGAAAAATTATCGAAAACCACGATTTATGGAAAATCTAAAAGCTGTCCTCACCGACGAAGGTCTGGTATCGTTCGAATGTAAGGTGGTTGGTTTTCCAACGCCTCAATTAAAATGGTTCAAAGATGGCCAAGAATTAAAACCGGGCGATGTTTATCAATTGACTGGCACAAATTCACTGGGAACGTATTGTTGCGTTGCCAAAAATTGCATGGGCGAAACAAGCAGCACAGCCATACTAACGGTTGAAGATATTCAAGATAAATTAAATGACGATGAACGTCTTGTTTACACCCAGAAAATAAATCAACCGCCCAAATTCGTTCAAGGTCTTGAAAGTCAAGAAGCCAAAATCAACGAAGATTTTCGATTTTTTATCGAAGGTAAGATTTACAGCTAAGATATTGTGCTATTCATGAATACAGTACATTTATATGAATTTTAATTACAGTTTCAAGTCAACCGGAACCAAAATTATCGTGGTATCGTGATGAATTACCAATTGAAGATTCAGAGCGTTATGTGATTTTGCGTGAAACGTCCGCCAATTGTCAATTACTGATTCGAAAGATCGAATTTGTAGATCAGGCTGAATGGAAATGTGTTGCAACAAATGATTACGGAACTAGTGTCACATCGTGCTTTTTGAAGTTGCAAATTCCACGGCATTATAAAAAACCGAAGTTTCTCGAATGCCTTCGTGCCATTCTAACGGAGGAAGGAGCGGTTAATCTCGAATGCAAGGTAAATTTTAAATACATTTTATGTTTTTCTTTGTTGAACTGATGAAAATGTGGGGAAAAAAATTAATTGAAATGTGTCATTGTGAATGTTTAATGTAACCAAAGGTGATCGGTGTTCCGCAACCAGTTTTAAAATGGTATAAAGACGGCATTGAGCTGAAAGCTGGTGACATTCATCGAATAATATCAGGTCAAGATGGCACTTGTTGTCTTGGCACGTATACGTGTGAGGCGAAAAATTGTATGGGTATTGTGGCCAGTTCAGCCTCAATTTTGGGCTTTGACGATGCAGTCAAATCGAATTCAAATACAAATGCAGAACTTCAACGAAATCATTCGTTGTCCACAATAAACGAAGAACGATCATCTCAATTATACGAAACACCGGCCGATGTAACACAAAAGTCAGACGTTTCGTTTAGTTTTGATGGCAAAGAAGTGAGTGTATCGTTGTACGAAACGCCCGATCTAACCGAAGAGGAGGCATTACAAATTGTCGAAATGTATGCCGATCAAATTTCCGAACATGTTACCGAACACAATATTGTCGAATTGCCACCGTTACGTTTTGTTAAAGAAACATCACAATCGGGCAATTTACTGATGGAAGCGGTTATCATTGATGTTGCATCCGAGTATTTCTTGAACGAAGAAGATATGCGAACCGAAGCCGATCTCGATAATGTTTCAATTAACGAGGTCAGTCTTCATGGTTTGACGACCATTGACGAATCATTGACCGGTGACGAATCACATCATTCAAACAAGCATCATCGAGATGAATCAATAATGAGTGGTGATGTTGACGATTACTTTAGCTTATCTCGAGCGACTAAAATGAGCGAAGATGGAAATGATGATGATGATAATACAGAAGAATTATTGAGCGCAAGAGATTCAGAGAAACACCAATCAATGGTACATGATGCCGAAGACTTTGTTAGTTTGGAGCATTCAAGTAAAAGTAGCAGCCGAAAGCGAAAGGTGTCATCATCACAAACCGATGATCCGGCAAAAAAGCATATCGTTGAACAACACGACATTGAAGAAAATCTAAATGCAGTGGTGCCGTTAGCGAAGCTAATTGAAATTCTTGAACGAAATTTAAGTACAATCAAAGAAGAAGTGCATGCACAATCGGCTCTAATGATGTCACCGGCATCGGTTGACGGAAGTTTGACTATTGTTCGTAATATTTTGGAGCCAATAACTCATATGCGACAACAGCTAAACGAATACAATGGCCAATCGTCGTTGGAAGCGTTATTCACCGAAGTTGGAAGTGATTTTGAAAAGCTTCATCAAGCATTGACTGTAGTTGAAAAATGCGTATCGATGGATGAAGTTGGACATACAATGGTACAACGAACTAGCGTATGTGTTGTTGATAGTGTTGGTGAAGAATTTGTTCAACTATTCGATACAATCGAACAAATTGCCGAAAATAAAAGCCAATCAAGTGTTAAAAATGAAATAAAAATACTCATGACTGATTTACGCATGGGAATCCGAATCACACAAGATACGATCAAAACTCAAACATTACTTCAAGAAGCAAATGCAATTGAGGTGGCTCAACACATTACCGATACAATGGAACGTGTACAAAATGTACCCGAATCGGTGCCATTTGAATCATTGTCAACGAATCAATTGCCCGCCGAAGCACAAAATTTCAAAAATGTTTGCCGATCCATTGTTAAAATGCAAGAAATTTTGGATTCAACCGATTCAAATGCTGCACCCGACGAAGTGCTACGCAATTTAATGCAGCCAATAAGTTCGCTTGAAAATGAAATTGCATCAATCGAACAAATTTTGAATGCCGAACAAAGTGGTGTTGAAGAGACACTTGAAGAAAAAATCAACATTGTGTTATGGGACACTGTGACACCACCAATGTACGAGCTATTCAAATCGTTGGAAACATTGGAAAGTCAATCGCCGACACATGCAATTGAGGTTTGTGATGCAATTTTACCACCGTTACAAGAAATTCAAAATGGTTTGGCGCGCATTGGTCAAGACATCGAAAACGGTACATTGGGACGACATTCACCGCCCATTGAAAATACAGACACAAAACGTATCATTGATAGTGTTAACCAAAGTCTCATCTATATGGGAAGCAACATAGAAGCGCAACCATTGAGCGATAGTGTAAGAGATTCATTCATCATGTTAAGAGATCAACTCAGCAATTTAATGACAAACGCCATTGAGTGTGATGAAAATAGTTGCCTGACCATTTTAGGATCGATTAAAAAACCACTCGATGATTTAAACTATTGTTTCCGTCAAATGGAAGAACGTTCAACATCGCAATCAACTCAAGAAATATTGGATCCATTGAATGTGCTCAAAGATAGTGTTCGCCGATGTGGTGAGAAAATTTCACTAAATCAACAAACATTAAAATGTCAAACCATTCTCAGTGAATTGAGACAACAAATTGACGCAACCGAACAAAATATTATTTTGGTTCCATGGTTGCGTGTTGCCGAAGAGGATGAACTATCGGGTAGTTCAATGTCACAAAATAAAGTGGTTTCAATAAAATCGATGCCAGAAAAAAGTATTCAACAAATTGTGGAAACAATTGTCGATGTAAATCGTTATATTGCCAGTCTGCAAGAGCATACACAATTTGAAGAGGCCACCGATTTGGATGTGAAGAATATACCATCGTTGTCAATGTTAGCCAAACCGTTACAGGCAATACAACAAAATTTGCAAGAAATGCAAGAGACGACACAAGATCAAGCACAACTGTCACAATCAAATGAAAACCAATTGAAATTGATACAAATGCTGGTCACTCCGTTGGAAAATGTACGCGAATCACTGAAAGTTATCGAAGTCAACACCGACGATCCACTGCAATCAATTTCAAGCCAAGATAATTTATCGGATTTCAAAGAATTGGCAAGACCATTGAAGGAAATGCATGAATGCATTGCATTGATTCAACATGAATCGAATTTGGGTGAAATGGCTGGATCGTTCAGTGCCGATGCACAGCCAGAAAGTGTCAAATTTGCCAAACCAATTGTGGAATTGAAGAAAAATGTGGAAATTATTTTGCAACATATTTTAGATGCACCCGATGACCTATCCACGATGGACGACATATCAATGATGAAATCTGTGGCAGAACAATTGCCGCATGATGATAGTGAAAAGTTTACGCCAAATATTACCAAACCAGATGTTCAATGGCCAAAAGAATCAATCGAAATTATGACACTAAAACGAAATCTGCAAGAATTTCAAAAGGAATTAATGAGTAATCAGTCGCAATCGGTCACACAAAAACACTTAAATACCGTTTTAACCGAAACAGTATCGAAAATAAATGAATTTGATGTGGAAAATCTCAGCGAAAATGCAATGGAACAGTTAACAAAGCCATTGCAAAAGCTACACGTTTCAATTATGAAGGCGAAACAAGCTGAATCCATTGTTGCAATTGATAAATTACAAAAAAGCGTATCACATATGCAAAAATGCATTTTCGATCATATCGGATTTGGTGGATTTGATAAACAGGAAATTACGGCCGTTCAATTTGCCGAATTACATCGATGCGTAGTTACAATACCCGAACCATTGCCCAATTTAGCGATAACATTGGAAACATTTGCCACTGTTGATGACATTTCAATACTTCATTCAATTCAAGAGCCAATCAAAGAATTGAAACAAATTATTGACACAAATCCAGAAGGATTCACCGATGCCGATCACATAAATGATGAGAATTTGGCAACATTAAAATCGGTGGCTCAGCCATTATTGACATTGAAAAAACAGGCTCAATCATTGGACGAATGTACATTGCAAAAATTGCATGCAATTTCATTTTCGGAAGAAGAAAATTCCGATTCAGCACCATTGTTGCCACTCATCGATTTAATTGTTTGCATGGAAAGTATTGATCTGCATACGATTGAACAATTTGCAAGATCAGTTGCGCCCGAAATTGTGCCAGAGGTGGTTGTAAGTGTTGAAGAATTGAAACGTTGCATATCGAATACACAACGCGAAGAAACGGTTAAGGCTTTGCATGAAATATCATCGGTAACCGGATTGGAGGGATTAAAATCAATTGCTGAACCATTACATGAATTACAGCATTACATTGAGAGCAGTCAAGGCGCTGAACAAAGTGAATCACTCAGTGAATTGGAATGTTTGTCGCAATTAAAAGAAGTGGCCAAACCTTTGATCGAAATTCGAGATTTTGTGGCAACAACCGAAGGTCAAATGGCTATTCAAATGAGCACCGACATATCAGAGACCGATGATTTGAAAACAAAAGCTCAACCACTGTTGGAGCTATTGACATGCATTGATCAAATCAAAGAAACCGTTTTCGAACATTTAACCGATTTATCAAATCAAGAAGATATCTCTGCGTTACAAATAACAGCTGACAATCAACAGCGAACGGCAAATGTGGTACTTTTGCCAGAACTTGAGCGATGCGTTCGTAATGTACAAGAACATGGTACAATTGATAATTTAGAAGAACTTTCGATCATGAGCAATTTATCCGAATTGAAAACACTGGCACAACCATTGCGAGAAATTCAGCATTCACTTCAAGTGCACACGGCCGATTTGATGGAAACCGAACAAAATTTGGTCAATATTGAAAATACGGCAATTTTAACGGAAATCGCAAAACCATTGACCGAATTGCGTGAGTATGTTACAAGTGTAAAAGGACAACAGGAATTGGTTCAATTAGCCAAAGATCTGTCCGAAATTGACAATGAAGATCTAAAGACTCATGCTCAGCCATTGCTTGAATTAATTGAATGCATAAATAAATTCAGCCCTGAGACGGTTGAACATGTGGCTGATATGAGCACACAACAAAACATCTCTGAATTGGAAATGACCGATGACAATCGCCGAAAACGATGCGCCAACGTAAAATTAATACCACAAATTGTGCATGCCATTTCTGAAACACAACAGTTGGACACATTACAGGCGGCTGGCGATCTTCATATGGGAACGTGCGACTTGAGAAAAGTTGCGAAACCTTTGCATGAAATGCAACACTACATCGAAAGCAATCAATTGCATTCGTTGCAGGAGACAAACAATCTGAGTGAAATGGAAAATATTTCATTGCTAAAAGAAATGGCAAAACCGTTAATGGAAATTCGTAATTTTGCCATGAGCACAGACGGTCAAGTTATTCTTGAAATGCAAGATGATCTATCAATTTCTGATCGTACAAAATTGTTGGTAAAACCATTGGTTGATCTATGTCTATGTGCCACAAACATTGATTTTAATCTCATCGAACCGGAAGCAACGCATGAGGATATTTCCGAAATGGAAACCGTTACGGAGATCGATGAATACGCCAAAGAAGTGGACGTTTTTCAAAACGAATTAACATCGAGCCTCGTGATTTTGGGCCAATGCATTAATGATGTTCAAATAAAAACCGTTCAATTGATGTCAACCAATAGACATTTCGCAGTTTTATCGAAACCGCTTGACGAAGTGAGAAATGCAATCATTGAATCAACACAACAAATCAATGAGCCAGCTGATTGTGAAACAATTGCTCAGCAATTATGTCATTTACGTGAAAATTTGGCCGGTTTAAATCCCGAATTATCAACGGAACCAACACCAGAGTTGGTTGGAATTCATGCCGAGTTGATTATGTTGGAGAAACACTTGAATGAAGCACTTCAAAGTATTGACGATGTGAGTCGACCACCAACCGAAGCCGTCATTGGACACATTCAAACACCCATTGAAAGCATTCAACAGTGCCAACGTCAAATGGAAACTGTTGCGACCGCAACTCAACATGCGACCATTGTGCAAATGCAAAAACCTTTGAACGAATTGGAAGCGAGTATTCAATGTTTGGGTGGATTTATTGCTGAAAATCCACTGCAACACATATCACGCAATACAAACGAGATTCAATCGTTTATCGCCGATTTACAAAATATTGAATCACAATTGTTCTTCGCTAAAGAATCGTTAAATGCAAACGCAGAGAATGAACTAGTCCGAGAACTTGTGACGGCAGTCGATTTGGTGAAAGCACAACTATCTGAAGTGCAAAATTCCATTCAGTTTGCAGAATCGATTCATCCGCTATTGATCACAAAATCAATTGATTCAATCAGTGCACCAGTTTCGAATTTGAGCGCAACACTTGAGAAAATGTCAAATTGTGAAAATATCGGTGATGTACTGAAATTATCATCGAGGGCACCACAGCTAAAAGTGGATCCGCCACAGGTTCAATTTCAAAATATTTTGGAAATGATTGACAGCGCGGGTGAATTGCAAATAGAGAATAACAGCATATCGAAACTATTGACGGAAATTCATGCTAGTGTAATCGAGCTTAAGAATTTCGATTTTACATCCAGCGACAACTTAAAATTCGATAAACATATCGTCGAATTGAAAACGTGTTTGAATGCTTTCATTCAGCAGGAAAAGTGTGCGGAAAATATGAGCAATCAGTTGAATGATCTCAAAAATAATATCATACAATTGGAAAAGTATCGTGTCATTCGATTGGACGGCATTAATGAAGTATGTCAAATATTTGCCGAAATGCAGCAACCATTAATGCAAATTCTTCAAACATTGCAGCCACAAACTCCAGTTGAGCGCGTACCGACTGAACAAACGAAAAAAGACAAGAACGATCTCCAAGTGGAAGTAAATGACTTGCTTCGCAAATCCGAAGAAAAGCGCTTAACTCCCGACGAAGAGGATCAATTGAATTCACTGTTGGCTCAAATAAATTTGCTTGACGTCAAAATTCATGACACCGTATTCGATGCAAAAATTATCAACGAAAGCACCGCCGATATCATTGAGCAGCTAAAAGCGGACTTGGAAACACGAGATGAGCTTAAAAAAAACGTCGATTCAGAAAGTGCTTCAGACGAAGCCGCGGAATCGAGGCCCAATGAGAAATTTAACGAAAATACACCAATTGACCGAAACAGTGAAATTGATCAGGAACAACACCGTACAGAAACGGAAAGTATGTTAGACGACGACACAATCGGTAGCCAATCGGCAACACACGAAAATCAATTAGAAAAAGCTGAAGAGCTTAGATTGGGACACCAATTCAATTTTATCGACGAAACAAATATATTTGAAGCCGAATTCAATGCAAGTCTTCGAGCACTTTATTTAAGCATTGAAGCAATTGCAAAAGAAAGTGGTGATGCACCAAACGAAATTCATCAACAACAAAACTATCAACCATTATCCCAACCGATTTCATACATTCAACAAACAATGGACTCAATTCAAGAATCACATACCGTCGATTTGCAAACACTTTCATACCTTTTATCGGATTTAAAACAGTCCATCGAATCGTGTTCGGGTGCTGTGAGCGAAGCCAACCAAATCGATTTATGTGCATTGGAAAAATGCGTGAATGAGGTCATTGTCAGCGCACGAGACATGATCAGACCACCAATCGAAGCGGTTATGATTCATTTGCAGCAACCAAACGAAAAACTCGAGAAATGTTTACAAACAGCATTGCATTCGACAAGCGTAATCAATGAACTACAAACACCATTGAACGATTTAAAAACTAGCATCGCACATTTGACGGAATTCATTGTAAAAGATCCGTTGCAAAAAATTTCAAGAAATACACCCAACATTCAACAGTTAATTGCTGATCTTCAAACAATTGAATCACAATTGTTTTTCTTGCAACAAAATTGCCAAGAATCAAAGGCAACACCGTTGCATTCGGAACTGGCCAATATTGTGCTTGAGGTGAAAAATCAATTAACACACGTTGAAAATACGATTCAATATTCGGAAGACATACATCCGCTACTGCTGACGAAGGCCATTGACATGTTGTCGGTGCCATTGGAACGTTTGAATACAGTTTGCGAACAAATTAACACATTCATCGCAAGTGGTGAAAGTACCAGCGAAGTGGTATTGGGCGCAGTCGAAAAAGTGACCATAGTTGACAATGTACAACAAGCAACCGTTGCAAATATTACAGACACCGCAATCGAAGAAGAACCGATTGCCTCTCAGCCAACTACATTGAAGTCGGACAGTGACATTTTACACGATGAATTCTTGTCAAGCTCAAAAGATCTACGAAATTGCGTAACTATGCTCTTGAATGGGCAATTGCTTACACTTAGCCCATACAAAGTGCTGTCGAGATCATTGGGTCATCTGGCGAAAATCTTGGATAAAACACAAAATACGGCCGAAGAAATTCAAGAGATCGCCAATCTTTTGTGGGACTTAAAAGAAAAATTGGATTCAATAAATCCGGAAATATTAGCCGAAACCAATCCAGAAATAGCTGAAGCCGCATATGGTGAGCTTATGTCTTTGGAAAAGAATCTAAACGATACATTGGGTTGTGTCGAAGATATGAATGTGACACCAATTGAAGCTGTCATTGCTCACTTAGAAAAACCGATTCGAATGATTGAATCTTGTTTGAATCTGGTGAAACAAACATCATCCAAAGCGAATATTAGAGATATCGAGCGACCACTAAACGAATTAAAAACAAGCATGTGCATATTGGGCGCATACATTTTACGCGATCCATTAGAGCATATCTCAAGGAATTCGGTCGAAATTCAAAGTTTCATCGCCGAACTGCAAAGTATTGAATCGCAACTATACTTTAAGCAAAGTGAAATAGCCCAAGCATCTGCCGTACCATTCAACAAAGAACTATCGGATTCAATTGCCATGACAAAATTACAAATCACAGACATTCAAAACGAAATACAATATGCAGAAACTACACATCCAATTCTGATAACCAAAACTGTAGACAAACTGTGCAAACCATTGGAATTGGTGCATATGATTATAGAGAATATTCATCAAATTTTGGGCGACGATGAACCAATCCAAGAGCAAAAACCTGAAGCGAATATTACGTCACCGGAAACTAAATTCTCCATTGCAAAGCAAACAGAAGACGAATTCTCTGGCGAAATTCTGGAAATGGCTGAAAATATCGATGTAGCACACAGAGAAATTGAAGCAAATATTATCGAATCGGATGAACTTGGTAGTATAGCAGGTCAACAAACGGCTGTAATTGATTCGGCCGATGACGTAAGGAGTTTGTCAATCAGCGAAATTGGTGAAAGTTCACAAGTTGAAGAAATTATCACTTCAGAGCACATCACCAAGGAAGATCAAGTACAAGAAATAAATCCAACTGATTTATCCCAGAGCGATACTCAAGATGAACTTTCGCAAGCCCAAATTGAGCATGCTGTCGTTATTGAAGAGGAAAAATCACATTTGGTTTTGACTGAGCAAGACAATGCAGGTAAACAGGTTAAATTTGAAGACAATATCGATACTTCTGGAGATACGGTACAATTAACCAAAGAAGAATTGAGTGAAACTGTTGAGACTTTGATAGAGAATGTACTTTCACAAGCTCAGAGTGTTCAACATGCCACTGTAGAAGAAGAGAAATTATCAGAGTTGTTGATAAGTGAACAATTGCAAGAGCTACAACAAGATCAGTTACAGGAGATTTCAAAGGAACAAGACCCAAAACAAGGTGATGTTGTAAGCACTGAAGATGTTGAACAATTGACTAAACAGAACTTGACCAACATTTCTGAACATGAACCGATTCAAATCGAGCAAATTGCCATTGTGGAAGAGCAAAAGTCACAAGAGGTGTTGATTACTGAACAAAAACAAGAATCCGCAATTGAAGAGGCGGATATTGACAGAATTGATGAAGGTTCTCAAGAAATAGTACAATTGGATAAACAAGAATTGAGCGAATCTGTAGATACTTCAAAGGTAGATGAATTACGGCAGGCGCAAACTGAACAAGTGGCCATTGTGGAAGAAGAAAAACCAAAAGATATTACGGTAGGTGAAGAAGACCAAGAGTCAAAAGAAACTGTCCTTGATGGATATCCTGAAGTTACCGAAGATATTGAGACAATATCAAAAGAAAAATTAACAGAAACTGCTCAGATGTTGGTCGACGATCAACTTTCGCAAACACAAACCGAAGAAGTCGCCAATCTTGAAGAAGTTAAATCACAAGAAGAACTTAAACAAGTTGATGTAGAAAGTTCTGTCCAGGTTTCTGAACAATTAACTGAAGAAAACTTGGACGAGCTAGCGCAAATTTCAAGGGCTGATGATTTCTCGCAAGCTCAAAATGCTGTTGTCGTTGAAGAAGAAAAATCACATTTGGCCTTAACTGAGCAAGATCAAGAACTTAAAGAGGTTAAATACGAAGAAGCTGTTGATATTTCTGAGGACGTGGCGGAATTAACCGAAGATGAATTGACTGAAACTGTTAAGACTTTGATAGAGGATGTACTTTTGCAAGCTCAGAGTGTCGAAATTGCTGCTGTAGAAGAAGAAAAGTCACAAACAGCGTTGATTAGTGAACAAAAACAAGCAAAAGCACTCAAACAAGTTAAATTTGAAGAAGCTGTGGATATTTCTGACGACGCGGCGCAATTTACCAAAGAAGAATTGACTGAAACTGTTAAGACTTTGATAGAAGATGTACTTTCGCAAGCTCAAAGTGCACAAATTGCAACTGTAGAAGAAGATAAATCACAAGAGATCTTGATCAGTGGTCAAGAACAGCAAGAACTAAAAGAAGCCGAAACTGTAGGTAGTTCACAAGTTTCTGAAAATGTTGATCATTTGGTCACAGAAGAAATGATCGAAACTGCTCAGATTTCAGAAGGAGATACACTTGTACAAGCCCAAACCGAGCAAATTGCTATTGTGGAAGAAGAAAAATCACAAAAGGTATTGTTCAGTGAACAAGCAGAAGAACTTAAGCAAGCTGAGGTTGGGTCCACTAATGAGATTTTGGAAGATGTACATCAAATTACCAAAGAAGACTTGACCGAAACTGCTCACATTTCTAACGAAGATGCACTTTTGCACGTTCAAACCGAGCAAGTCGCTATTGTGGAAGAAGAAAAACTACAAGATGTTTCACTCAGTGAACAAAATCTGGTTGAAGAATCAATTGCGGAGCCTGTACACACTGAACAAGTTGCCATTTTGGAAGAAGAAAAACCACAAGAAGTATTAATCAGTGAAATAGAATCAATCGAAGCTGAACGATCTGCTGAAACTGCTGAGCATGTAGTACAAGAGACCAAAGAGAAATTGGATGAAACTGATCAAATTACGAATGAAGAAGAATTATCTCAGAGCGAACAAGTCGCTATAGTCGATGAAGAAAAAGTACAAGAGGCTTTGGTTAGTGAAGAAAAACTGGATCAAGCAGAAATCACAGACACTTCTGAGGTTTCGAAAGACATTAAGCAAATTGCCAAGGAAACACTAAGCGAAACTGCTCAGATCTCTGATGACAGTGAACTTTTGGAAGCCCATACCGAGCAAATCGTTGTTGTGGAAGAAGAAAAACCACAATCTATATTGAATAGTGAACAGAAACACACAGAAGATCTTAAAAAGGTCACATTTGAAGAAGCTGTTGATATTTCTGAAGACGCGGCGGAAATAACCAAAGAAGAATTGACTGAAACTGTTAAGACTTTGATAGAAGATGTACTTTCACAAGCTCTGAGTGTCGAAATTGCCACTGTAGAAGAAGAAAATTCACAAGTAGCGTTGATTAGTGAACAAAAACCGGCAAAAGCACATAAACAAGTTAAATTTGAAGAAGCTGTGGATATTTCTGAAGACGCGGCGCAATTAACCAAAGAAGAATTGACTGAAACTGTTAAAACTTTGATAGAAGATGTACTTTCACAAGCTCAGAGTGTCGAAATTGCCACTGTAAAAGAAGATAAATTACAAGAGATCTTGATCAGTGGTCAAGAACAACAAGAACTAAAAGAAGCCGAAACTGTAGATAGTTCACAAGTTTCTGAAAATGTTGATCATTTGGTCACAGAAGAAATGAACGAAACTGCTCAGATTTCAGAAGAAGACACACTTGTACAAGCCCAAACCGAGCAAATCGCTATTTTGGAAGAAGAAAAATCACAAGAGGTGTTCGTCGGTGAAGATAAAGAAGCAAATCAACTCAAACAGCCTGATGACGAAAGCGCTGATGATTTCTCACAAGCTCAAAGTGCTGTTGTCGTTGAAGAAGAAAAATCACATTTGGCCTTGACTGAGCAAAAGCAGGAACTTAAACAGGTTAAATTTGGAGGTACAGTCGATGTTTTTGAAGACGAAGAGGAACTAACCAAAGAAGAATTGACTGAAACCGTTCAAACGTTGATAGATGATGTTCTTTCACAAGCTCAGAGTGTACAAGTCGCTGTCGTGGAAGAAGAAAAGTTAGAAGAAGTCAGTGAGGAAAAACAAGAATTGAATCTCAAGCAACCGGTATCAAAAGATCTTTCTGAGATTTCTGAAGACGTAGACCAATTGACCGACACCTTACAGATTTCGGAAGTGGATGAATTATCTCACATTCAAACTGAACAGGTCACTGCTATAGAAGAAGAAAAACTACAAGAGGCTAGTGTGCCAGAATCAGAACCGGAACTTAAAAACGTTCAAGTCAAAGATACGCCTGATGTTGTTGAAGACATCAATCAATTGGCCAAAGAAAACTTAACACAAACTGCACAGACACTAAACGAAGATGAATTGTCGCGGGCTCAAAGTGAACAAGTTGCCATCGTGACGGACGAAAAATTGCAAGATGTTTCGATTAGTGAACAACAAGAGATACAAACAGGCTTGACCGAACCGGCATACATTTCAGAAGAACGTGAACAGATTCAAATTGAACAGATCGCTATTGTTGAAGAAGAAAAACTACAAGTTGCTTCGGTTAGTGAACAAACCGAAATCGCAGATGAACATCCACAGTCTCAAAGTGAGCAAGTTGTCGTAGTTGATGATGAAAAAATACAAGATGTATTGATAAGTGAACCAAAACATGCAGACAAACTTGAGCAGGCTGAAACTCAATTGATTTCTGAGGATTCTGAAGACTTGAAGCCCATTTCCAAAGAAGAATTGTCAGAAATAGCACAGATTTTAGAAGAGGATAAACTTTCGCTAACTCAAGCAGAACAAGTTGCTATTGTAGTGGAAGAAACGTCACATAAACTTTCGGTTACGGAAAAAAACCCAGAACAAGAGCTCAACGAAGCCAAGATTGAGAGCAGTTCTGTTGTATCTGAAGATACAGAACAATTAACTAAAGAAGACTTGACTCAAACTGCTCAAGTTTTGAAGCAAGATGAACTGTCACAAGTTCAAGTCGAACAAATCGCAATTTTAGAAGAAGATATTTCACAAGTGGTCTCGATTAGTGAAGAAAAGCCAGAACTTGAGCTAAAAGAAGCCAAAGTCAAAGGCACTCTTGAGATTTCCGAAGATGTTGAGCATTTGGCCAAAGAAGAATCGTTTGAAACTGCTAATATATCAAAAGTGGATGATCTTTCGCAAATACAAAGTGAACAAGTTGCGGTTATAAAAGATGAAAGGTCACATGGGGTTTTGATAAGTGAGCCTGAAATCAAAGAAGCTGAAATCAAAGAAACTATTCCCGATTCTCAATATGTGGAGCAATTGGTCGCAAAAGATTTGCCCGAAACTGTTCAGATTTCAGATGAAGACGAACTTTCACAAGCACAAACTGAACTGCAAGAGGCCTTAATCAGCCAACAAAAACAAGAATCTGAACTCAACAAAGATTCTGAAGACAAAGTATATTTGGATGGACAAGAATCGAGCAAAACTGCAGAGACCTCAAAGGTAGATGAATTGCAAGTGGAAACTGAACAAATGGCCATCGTGGAAGAAGAAAACCTAAAGGATATTACGATAAGCGAAGAAAAGCAAGAGTCTAAAGAAATTGCTATCGAAGACTCTTCCGAAGTCACCAAAGATATTGAGCAACTAGCCAAACAAAAATGGTCAGAAACTGCACAGATTTCTACAGAGATGGAATTTTCACAAGCACAAACTGAACAGTTTGCTGTGGTGGAGGAAGACAAATCGCAACAAGTACTAATAAGTGAGCAGAAATTCAAACAAACTGAAGTTGCAAGTGAGGTTTCAAAAGATGTGGAGCAAATCACCAAAGAAGATTTGACCGAAACGGTGCGAAAATCAGAGGAATCAGATATTGGCAAACCTCAATCTCAAATTAAACAGGTCATTACCGAGGAAGAAGTCTCACTTGCTGAGAATGCAGAGCAATTGGTGAATGAAGAAGATTTGAGTTCAATTGCACACGTTTCGAAAACAAATGAACTTTTGCAAGCTCAGACTGAACAAATTACCGTTTCAGAAGAGGAAAAACCACAAGAAACCGTTGAAAAAGTGCCAATGGAAAACGTTGAACATGTTAAAAAGATCTCTGAAGAGGATAGGCAATTTGAAATGCAAATTGGTAAAACGATCACAGCTGTGTTGGAATGTGTTTCATCGTCTATTGATTTGGTATATAATTTGCCCAGTACCTGTTGTATTCTGTTGAATTCTTGCGATCAAGATATTTTATTGAACACTCTGCCAATAATAAAACGTCTTAAAAAGTGCGTAAACGATATCAAAACTGGCGATTTGTTGCAACAATCAAACTTTGTCGACCATTTAACGTTATACATTTCGGAAACTAAGCCATTGATCAAAGATCTTGTTGCAGCCAATTCGAAAGGAAACGCTTCATACGAAATTCAACAAATTCTGTTGTCAATAAAAGAATTGAATACATTCTGTGGGAATGTTCGACGAGACTTAAAATCCGATCAAACGTTACAAAAGCAAAAAGCAATTAAAAACCTATCCGAAATGATTGTAAATTTGCAAAACTTGAATGTATTGCTTGGTGTGTTGAGTGGAATAACACCTACGGTTGTTGACACAATAGATATTGGCATGCTACTTGATGAGAGTATCGAAGATGAAAATGCAAGTGTAATCATTAAAGATCGGTCTGATGTAGAAGAGGTGGCACCCGAAAAACCACAAAGAAAACCGAAAGCTGTGAAAGAGAGTGAAAAACCGTCATCGGCGGACTTGAAGTTGAGCATCCAAAATGCCAAAGAATCCGAAGTATCACAATTGGTTAGTTCATCGTCTGATTTGATTACGTCACCCGTAAGTCATGAAACGGGCACAATTAGCACCTTAGAGAACATTCTCCAAGACTTTGCTGAAGTTGGAGTCTCAACTGTCTCAGTAAGTCAAGCAAAACTTCAAGAAGTTGAAGAAAAGCCAACAGTTCCCAAAAGAAGAACTTCAAAGAAAATATCAGAAGATGAACCAATAACAGATTTGAATCACAAATCAATAATTGAAAGTGATGTTGCACCAGAAAAGCCAAAACGCACCAAAGTTGATAAAAAACAAAAATCCACTGAAGATGACAGTCAAAATAAAGAGAAAGCATTTGAAGCTATACAAACAGACGATAAAGCAATGGAACAAATTGAGGCTACTCCACAAACAGTGGAACCGATTGTTATCGAAAAAGATGAGGTAAATGCGATCGGTATTGAAAGTGAAAGTTCAACAATTCAAAAGGAAGAGGAGTTGATGGTTGAAAGTGAAAAGGCTAGCAAAAGTGATGTCCAAAAAAGTACCACTGATGTCAAAGAAAAATCTCCGGAAAGAAAAAAATCAGAGCAAAAATTAAGCGATGAGAAAAAGAAGAAACGAAAGAAATCAATGCGACTTGATGAAGGATCTCCACCTAAAGAGGTCGAGGAAATATCAAATGCAACGGCTCCAATTGAGCAAAGCATTGATAAATCCGAGTCTGATGAATCAGAAACCAAAATCGAATCTCAGGTGAAAATTCCCGAACAATCCACCGATCAAATCCAAAGGCCTGAAAAAATCGAAGTAATTGAAAAGAAAGAAGACTCACCCAAACCAGAAGAGAGTAAGCCAGATTCACGGAAAAGCAAGAAATCTGAAAGAAAATTGAGCGGTGAGAAAAAAATTGAGCGAAGGAAAAAATCACTTCGAACAGCGGAAGAAAAAACTGAAGAGCCATTAAAGAACGAAAATGTTGTGCAATTAACCGAAGAAGATTTGACTGCGACTGCTAAGATTTCGAAGCAAGATGAACTTTTGCAAGCGCAAATTGAACAAGTTGCTGTTGTGAAAGAAGAAAAATTACAAACCATTTCAATGAGTGAAGATGAAAATGTTGAAGAGACCAAACAAACCGCCATCAAAGATGACAAAGATCTAGCAAGAGAAAAAGCCAAACTTGAAGATAAAAACATAGATATTACATCTCCTGATCAGACTGAAAAAGAGATGAAAACTGCAGAGCAAGGAAAAGAAATTGTGGTAAAATTTGATGATAGCAAGCTAGATGAAAATAAGTCATTGAAAGACTCAACTGAAGAAACGAAAAAATTGGCTGAAAAAGAAGTTGCTTTGGAGCCCCAAAACGTTGAAGAAAAGAAGGCGAATTCACTTGAAAAATCCTCAAACGATTCTATCGAGCAATCTGATAAAGAACAACAGTCGCAAGGTGAAAAGGTCACAATTACAGATGCGGCGAAATTCGAAACCGAACAAAAAGTAAAGGCTGTCGATACGAACTTAGTGAAACACACTTCCGAAAAATCCGAAGAAAAGATTTCAGAAAAGAAAAAACTGGAAAATGAAAAAACGATCGAAAGTGAAACTGAAAAAAGTTCCACCGGTGTCAAAGAAAAGAGTCCAGAAAGGAAAAAACCAGAGCGCAAATTAAGCGACGAAAAAAAGAAAAAACGAAAAAAATCAATGCGATCTGACGAGGGTTCTCCACCAAAGGAGGTCAAAGAATCTCAAGACAAATTGAATGAAAAATCGAATGCAGCGGCTGAAATTGAGCAAAGCGTTGATAAAATCAAGTCTGATGAAACAAAAGTACAAACTGAAATCGAATTGAAAAAGTCCAATCGACCAAGTGAAGTGGCTCAAAGTGTGACTGAACAAATTGATACAAATAAAATGGAGGAGGCAGCATCACCCAAAACAAAAGACGGCCAACTCGATTTTGAAGAGGCCAAAAAGCCAGACCGTAAGTTGAGCGCTGAAAAGGTGAAAAAACGAAAAAAGTCACTTCGATCTGAAAATAAAGAATCCAAAGAGACACTTGCACCCGAAAATGTTTCAACTTCTTTTGATAAAGACGAAATAACGTCATCGGAGACGGTTGGTGTACAGCAGAATACCGATGAAAAATCAATTCGTGATCAAATTGAAAGTGAAAAGGCTACTTTTAACGCAATCGAAACCAGTAAAGAATTGATTGATAAATCGGAATTCGAACAAATAAAAGAAACGAAATTTGATGTGAGTGTAAAAGAGACGGCATCAGAAAATGAATCAATTCCAACGCCGACACCAAGAGCAAGAAAAAAGTTGTCAGTAATTGAGCGGCCAATATTTGAAAGTCAATTAACGAATCGTAACCTTTTATATGGATCATCTGCAAAATTAACATGTAGCTATACTGGTGTGAACATACGCGTGCAATGGTTCAAAGATGGTCAATTGTTGAAATCAAGCGATAAATTAATCATAAATACGTCTCAAGAGGGAATCACGAGTCTCCGTATAAATGGCACAACACCAAATGATGATGGCCAATATACATGCGTTCTTTCCAATTCGCACGGTGAATGTGAGTCAAATGCTATAGTTACCGTCTTTGAACCGCCGAAAGAAATTGAGCCGGTGAAAAGAGAGCGCAGACGAAGTTCAGCAAGTTCACAAATTCAATTAGTCGAATTGCCAAAATCTGAATCACAAGCAAAAATATTGCGAAAACCATTCATCGAAACGAGATTACGCAATCGAACAGCTGATTTGGGATCGAGTGTGCAATTGATGTGTAGTTTCAGCGGTGCCGATTATCAAATCAAATGGCAACGGAATGGATATGAAATTCGTGCTGATGGAGCCAAATATAAAATTAGTGAATCCGAAGGTTTTGCATATTTGAGCATTTTAAAAGTGGAAAAAGAAGACCAAGGTGAATACAAATGTATCATATCAAATGCAAGCGGCCAAACTGAATCAACGTGTGACATTAAAATCCATGATGATGAATCATCGAAAACAAATGAACAATTGAAACGAAAAGCGAAGAAAAATGAACATAATTACCTGAAAGCTTCGGCCAAAGCAGCTACAACCGAACCAATCACTTTGGATACAATCAAAGGTAAATTTTGTTATTGATTCGATTTTAATTGGTTCATTCAAAAGGTTCTTCAAATGTGGATTATTAAACAGCATCATCACTCAAATGTGAAGCAATCGATAAATTTCACAAACTTTTCAAACTATTTAACGAACTGTATATTACTTATTTTCAGCAAGATTTGTTCAAGTAATACGATTTGTGTAGAATTGTTGTGCATGCATTTGTTCCGATTTGTTCTTCATAATGACAATAAATTACTAATATTGTGCGCGTGTTTGTCATTCGTTTGGTTAACAGAAATAACTGTGAGCGTATTCTTTTTTTCCTCTCTAACAGACGCAAGCTTAATAAGAAATAAATAATTGAAATTTAACTTTGACCCGAAAAAATAAATTTAGGTAGCCACACATCGCCAATAAAATTCCTTTGTTTCTTTGTACTTTCGATTGCGATTAGAATTTTATGCGATGACATTCGACTACGGGTGGTTTTTATTTTCAAAACGAGACACACTATTGAGAACATTTCATATTTGCAAGTGAAAACTGTTACAAGTACAATGGCACTATGTCGAAGTCGCGGATGATGTAAACGATAACGAATCTCATTTATATCGATCGATTTAATATCTAAATTTAGACGCGTTAAATTCAAATCATTCTTCAATTGTATTTTCGATTTGATTTGATTCGTTTTGGCATGACATTCAAAATGAGCTAATATCGAACACATCAACACCATTGCATTGGCCGGAGTAAATGCGAACACAAAACACTTGTGTGCTGATATGCATAAGCTTCGAAGTCTCTGTATCATTTATGTACGCAAATAAATCTTTCGTCAGGTGATTACATTGTTATAATAATATCAACCGATACATTGAATTCATTAAACTCTAACATCTAATTGGTTTTTGTTTATTATAATGCTTATGTTATGGTTTTTCTCGCTGTCTTTGTCTCGATTCCTGTGGTTACATATTTGATTCATATATGAAATGATTTTTATATGTGTATTTGTATGTACCGCCAGCACGCGATACAAGTAAGTGGTAGTGCTAATTGGATCACAGAAAAATATTACTTGAGTTCATCAAATCAATGAGTAGAATCAGTCGTGTGATTGATTTTGTATCGAATGGACGAATAACGATAGACAAGAGAACCAAATTTTTATTTTTATTTCAATTATTTTCACTGAAAGGGAAATTTTGCCTTTTTTGCGTCGATAGAACAATTATAGCACACGTGTTTTGTTTTTTTTTTTTTTTAATATTTTTTATTGGTTTCGAGTTTTCTCTTCTGTGAACAATTGCCGAAAAATAATCTAGATAAATTTCAACGAAATCGAAACATTGTTTTGTTCGATTTAAAATAAAATCATCTTTTAATTAAGCAAAATGGCTGAAGTTATAGAAAAACGAGAAATGACACCGTCATCGCTTGAGTTGCCCAAGCACCGAACAATGCGAATGCGTTCACCATCGCCTATTGTGCGTGGTCGGAGTCAGACTCCAGTTCGTGGACGCAGCATGACACCATATCAACTTTTCCGGGAAAAAAGTGCCACACCATCGGCCTGGCGAAGCATAACACCGTTCATCGCACGAGAGGAAAAGGAAAAAACACCATTCGAAATTGGACCAAATATTCTACTTCAATTGGCTTCATACAAGGCAATCATCGATAAAGCCCTTGTCATGGACATATCATCAGACGAAGAACGACCAGCAAAATATATTTTGTCTGAACAATCAGTGATCGATAGAGCAGCCGTTATGGATTTATCAAATGTGGAAATCATTTACGTTGAAGATGATGACTTGGAAGATTCAGATTATCGCGACTCTGAATCACGTGAATCTTCTGTTGCTACTGATCATGCTGTAAGTGTCAAATCATCAATCAAATTGTGACTTTATTTTAGTATCAATTAGACGACAAGAGAAAAAAATGAAACTAAAAATGATTTTATATACTTGAGTCATGCATACTCAGTTTGTGCGTTTTGATCTCTTCTTGCAAATTTTTAAATTGTTTGTGTTTTGTTTCGAGTTGAATTTTGTGAATTAAAGTCTACTTATCGATCGTTATGTTATGCATAATTTCGTTTTAGCCAAGTGAAGATAGAGAAAGATCGGTTGAGCTTACTGCTGGTTCGGACGATGAAGGTGAAGGTGGTGGTAAGAAGAAAAAGGGTAAAAAAGCAAAAAAAGTTGTCAAAAAGAAGGAGAAGAAAGAAAAAGAAGCATCACCACCAAAATTGAAATTGGATATGGGTGATTCGAAACCAAAAGTAAGCAGAGCCAAAATGTTTGCCGATAAAGCTGCCGAAGAAAAACAAAAAGGTGCATTTTTTTTTTTGTTGCGTTGTGTTACAATTTCATGCATAACATCTTTGTTTTACAAATTCAAGCAAAAACAAGAAAATGGTTCAATTTAATTTCTGTAAAATTTACCAATTTCAGAGAAACCGCCAGTGAAGAAAGCTGGTGGAAAATTGACGGGCGCTTTGGCTGCAATGAAAGCCGAAGAAGCCAAAATGAAGGAGGCCGAAGAGCAAAAGAAACAAATCGAAGATAAAATGAAGAAAATGAAAGCCGAACAAGAGGCGAAAAAAGTTCAGGCAGCTGAAGATAAAGCAGCTGCCGACGCAGCCGAAGACGAAGAAGAAGACCGTGGCTCAGAAGATGGATCTGATCGAGGTACATGTTGTTTTTATTTGTAATCGATTCAAAATTATTGCGAGTTTCTATTGAAACACAAGTCAATTAAGCTCTTAAATTGATACGAAAAGAATAACAGCTATGAAGAAGGTTCGTTCATCGAAAGGGCAATGAATCATATTTTGTACATTTTGTTTTTTTAGGTAGTGATGCTGGAAGTGACAACGAAGGCTCTGGCTCCGGTTCAGGCTCTGGCTCTGGTTCTGGTTCCGAGGGAGAGGAAGAAAACGGCGAAGAAGGTATACGCACGTGAACGCAAAAAAAAGAAAACCGAAAAATAGTTTCTGAATATTTATAAAAATTTGTTTAAAATATTAGAAGCCGAAGAAGAAGTTGATGAGCCGGCCGATAAGGGTAGACGTGGATCCGATGCATCGGATGATGATTTCTACAAGCCAAATCCAGAAGACGAAGCATTATGGTCAAAATTAGATGAAGTGGAACAAGGAATCATTCGATCCAAATATGAACCAGAACAATTTAAAAATCTTACCGAACGTGAACGATTCTTTGCGTTCCAACGTGCACGTGAGCTTGCTCGAATTCCACGGCTTCACACACACATACGTGATGTTACCGTTACCGAAGGACATAATGTAAAATTGACATGCACAGCTAGTGGTCCCGAACTAAATATTCGTTGGTTGAAGGACGGAAATCCCGTTGAAAAAACGCCAAGAACACGCATTTTGGTGAACGAAGGAATTATTAGTTTGGAAATTTTGCGTGCGGTTGCAAGTGATTCGGGTGAATACACTCTATCGCTGAAAAATCAAAATGGAGAAGCCAATACATCGGCAATTGTAACTATTTATGAGATTATTAAAGATGATCCAGTGCCGCCAACATTCATTTCAGCTCGAGGTAAATATTGCCGACATTTTTCACCAACTCATTTATTTAACAACTATCAATTATAAAATTATGTAGATTACTATCACTTGAATGATGATGTTTTGGGCATTGAGGTGCATTGTACTGGTATACCAAGGCCAACAGTTCAATGGTTCCATGATATGTTTGCCTGTACACCAAGCTTTAAGTATACAATTTTGGAGGAGGCGCATGGCGTTTTCAAACTGGAAGTGTATAAGCCAGCGGCCAAAGATAGTGGAAAATACATTTGTAAAGCAACTAATTCAGCGGGTGAAACAGAGATTGAGCACGAGGTGCAGTTTGTTGGAAAACCAACTCAGTTCCATATGCGTGGTCTTCGTCATGCGCACACCGAATACCAAAAAGAAAAAGAAGAACAAGCAAAACGTGCAATGGAAGATGCACTCAAGGCCAAAGAAGAATACGAATTGAGAAAAATGGGTAAATTACCGCCAATTGTTAAACGCGAAGATACACCAAATGTTCCACAAAAGGATCGTCTAAAATTTGTCACACAATTACGCGATCGTACAGCTATAGTTGGCAACAAAGCGAAATTCGCTGTGTCAATTATTGGACCGGATCCAAATATTCGATGGTACAAGGATGGTAATCCAATTCAATACGGTCCGAATGTGCGTAATTCGACTGCCGAAAGTATGAGCATTGTGGAAATCGTAAATTTATCGACCGATCATACAGGCGAATACAAATGTGTGGCACGAAACAATTTTACCGAAATATCAACGTCGTGTTATTTGAAAGTGTACGATGCAAAATGCGAAGGCGATAGAGAAGCACCATTATTTGTATTATCGATGCGAGGTACAAACGAATATTATATGTAAAATTTAATTTGTCATTGTTTGCCAAATTGCTTTCAATGGATTTAATCATCACAGACCGAGTTAGATTTTCACCTAATTTCAATCGTTATTTTTAGATGTGTATCATGCCCCTGAAAAGGATCTAGTTATCGATTGTAAAGTTCGTGGCAATCCAAGGCCATTGATTACGTGGACGAAAGACAATTTGGCAGTCGAATTTGATGAACGAACGCAACAAGTCGAAAATTTGGATGGCATTTGTGAATTGATCATACATCAACCCGTACCGAAAGATAGCGGCAAATATACGTAAGCTCTCTATAATTATTTTAAAAACATTTTTAGTTCCTTAAAAGAAGTTAGGAAGGAAATAAACAAGCCTCGCCTCTATTTTTATCAATTGTCTATATAGCTGCACTGCTGTAAATAGTATCGGTTCATCAAGCACATCGCATCAAGTTGAATACACACCACAACCATCGCTGCCAGGTAGTAGACGTGAGTCAGGAATGGCGCCATCCATAGCTGAAAGTGATACCGAAAAAGATGACACCGAAAAGAAAGATGATGCAGCAGCAGCAGGCAAAGGAAGACCCAAGAAATTGCCACCATCAGAGAAAAAAGATGAAAGCTATCAAAGTCGTCGTCCAGCTGCACCCACTATTGAAGAATTATTGAAAGCAAGTCGCGCTAAATTATCATTTACGACACATTTAACGAATCGCGTATTTCCCGTGGGAACGAAAGTCAAGCTATCGTGTGTGGTGCATGGACCCGATCCAAATGTACGTTGGTTGAAAAACGATCAACCACTTGTTTACGGTCCACGCATCCGAAATTTGAGCACATCCGATGGATTTTGTGTACTCGAAATTGGCAATTGTACCGTTGACGACACGGGCGTGTATACTCTCTTGGTGCGTAACCAAGAGAGTGACATTTCATGCAATTGTAATGTTCAAATTTACGAAACAAAAGCAACAGCCGAATTTTTGCCAACCTTCACGAGATCATTAAAAGGTTAGAACATACACAAAATCAAACTGTTTGTATTTTCTACATCGTCATTGATTTTAAATGTGAATCAATGTTATTTATTCCTATTTTTAATTGGCTTTGACTTCGTATCGATGCTTTTCACATTGTATTTATATTACAAACAATTTTCCTTTCGTTTGTTTTTTTTTCAACTTTAGACACCTATCATTTGAACATAAATGAATTGTATTTGGAGACGCATGTGCGAGGCAATCCACCACCAAAGGTTGAATGGTTCAAGGATAGTGTAGAAATTGCACGTACTGATCCAAAATATCAGATATTTGATCATCCTGATGGATTATGTGAATTGATTGTTAATTTCCCGAATCAAAACGATAGGTAAGTGCCGAAATAACTAACGTAAAAAGCGTAAATCTAAGATATGTTGAACTATGTTCGTTTTTTTTTTCAGCGGGAAATATGTGTGTAAGGCGACGAATAAATGTGGAACCACAGAAATTCCACATTATGTGTTGTTCGAAGGAAAAGAACATCATATTGCTGAAAATATTCATGGCGTATATCATGCTGATCATACTCGTGTTAAAACGGAACATGGTTTCACAAATGGCGACGGCCCCGTTGAAAATGGTGTTGATGCTGATGAAAAAGATAAAAAAGGTGGAAAGGGACAAAAGAAAACATCACGCCCCGAAACACCATCGACACCAGTACCATCGGCACCGGCACCACCAGCCAAAAAAGAACCACGTGAATCTCGTATTGGAATTAATTTTCCAACAAAATTATCAAATCGAGTTGTTGCAGCTGGCTCAAAACTTAAGTTCACTTGTTATTTGGATGGTTCGGATCCAATGATCAAATGGTTTAAAGATGATCAACCAGTTGTATACTCACCAAAGTGTCGTCAAAATAATTTGAATGGTTTGTGTTCGTTGGAGTTTGCATCGGTTACCGTTGAAGATTCCGGAGTTTACAAATGCTGGGCTCGCAACACATCTGGCGAAGCATCGACAAGTGCCACGCTTGAGGTATTCAGCGGCGGTGATTCAGCCGATTTGAGTCCAACATTTACACGATCAATCAAAGAAACATACAATTCAAAGATCAATGAAATTAACATTACTTGCCATGTACGTGCAATTCCGAAAGCAACGATTACATGGTCCAAGGATGGCGTTAATATTGAACCCAGTGAAAAATATCAACTCATTGAACATGAAGATGGTCTTTGCGAATTGAACATCAGCGATGCTACCAAATATGATGTAAGTTTTTTTCTAACCATGCAGACGATGGAATGATTTCTGAATGTCTTGAATGTATTCTCTTTTTATTTGTTGTTTTTTTTTTTTAATATTAGAATGGTAAATATGGATGCCATGCGGAAAATCGTGCCGGCAAAGCGGAAACTAGTCATATCGTTCAAATTCAAATTCGCGAACAACGTTCGAGCATAACAAGTCTTTCGTCAATTAAAGAGTCACCACCAACACCTGAAGTGCCCGAAGAGAAGGATGGAAGTGGCAAAGGAAAAGGACAGCCACGTCAAAAGAAAGATTCATCATCCGGCGGAGGTGGTGGTGGCGGTGGAAGACGGTATGCACCAGCACCCCCACCAGATCCAAAACAACAATTGTTCTTCCTTGCCTTCCTCACTGATCGTACTATTCCAGTGGGTGGAAAAACTAAAATTTCGGTTTGTGTCGAAGGACCTGATCCACAAGCGCGTTGGTACAAAGGTAAAAATGATTTTAAAAGTTGTTTTTCTTTTAAATCATTGACATATTTCGTGTTCATTTCAGATGAAAACCCATTGCAAATGAGCCCTCGTGTCCGTGTCGACGTGAGAGACGGTTTAATTACATTGAATATTAACAATGCGGTATTAGAAGATTCTGGTGTATATCGTATTTTAGTTCGTAATGCAGAAAGTGAAATTACATCTTCATGCACGGTTAACGTGTTTGATCCAATTCAACAAGTAGCAACCGCTCCATTATTTACGAATACAATCAAAGGTATGAGTTTCAGGATTGATGTGAAGCCATTTGTTTCTCATTTTATGTTTTTTATTATCGGATGTGAGGTAAGATCAATTTTTCTTCAATGTATTTAATACAAATCGCATGTAACAAAAAAAAAAAGCTTTTTCTGAATAGACCGTGTTTTTTTAACATAATTTGTTTAACAAATCTTGATTGAAAAGTATAAATTGTGAATATCATCGATGTTTTGCGCAATTTTGGGGTATGATGTTGTCGAAACCACCATATTTTAAGAATTTTATTTTTATTGAAACCACTTTTTAAATATAAAATTGCGTCAATCATTTAGAATCATTTGCATCTCACTCGAAACAACTTACGCTCGAATGTCAAGCTCATTGTTCGCAGTACATAAGTTCATCGGCAATACTAACCGGTCAACCGGTACAAACGGTATCACACAATGTTAGTGTAAGTCCACCGATTGTGGCACCAAAACCAGAAGAACGACAAAAACGCCGTCAATACCAAGAACGTTTTGTTCAAGATCATCAAATCCGAGAGCCAATCGATAGACATGCAGCGCCCGTTGCATTGGCATCGTTTATGAAAAATTTAACAATCGAAGAAGGTAATCGTGCTAAATTCGTGTGCAGTGTTATCGGACAAGTCGACACAGTGGAATGGTTTAAGGACAATATTCCATTGCAACCCGAATTGGATCGTAGGTATCGTTTTATCAATTCAGGTGATGCAATTGTTGGTTTGGAAATTCATGATGTTACATCAAGTGATTCTGGTTTCTATACGCTTTCAATATTTGGTCGTCGAAATAGTGTAACATCTAGTTCAAAATTGACAGTTTATGAAGCATATAAATCACAAAAAAAATCTCTTGCATATGATCGCCCACCGATGCCATCATCATTATCTGAATTCATTGTAAAAGGTACACTCATTAGACATATAATATTTTAAATGAAAATCAAACATTTTCGAAAAAAAAAAAAAAAAAACAATTTAAATTTTATTTTTTAACATTTTCGTGTTCGATGACATAAAAAAAACCACACATTTCTTAGATTCAGCAAAACATTCGGACCATTCATTTGAACGGTTAATTCGTAGTAGCCGAGCACCAAGTCCATTCCATCGTGAATTCACATCATCATACCGAGAAATGCGCCCGCCTGTCAACGAAACAAAATCAATTCGAATTCGTGATAGTTTACCCATAACAATGCCATACCGTTCGAAATCTTATCACGGTGATTTAAGTCGCATAGCTGCTAAGCCGTCAATTACAAACAATCTTCGTTATGATGATCACCAAACTGATCTATACAGAAGCTATCGCTCAATGTCGCGTAGTGCAAACAATCTTAATGCAAGCAACAGTTCACGGCCTAGTATATCAAGTTTTCATTCATCTTATGTGCATGCATATTCACGGCATCACAGCCATCACAATCACAACCTACCGATTATATCATCACAAAGTCCGGTGCAAATAAATAATCGAAGTCGTTTCCGTGCACGTAACGCCTACAAGGCATATCGCAGTCGAAGTGCAAATCGACTTGATGAACGTGATTATTCAATGTCACGCACTATTCGGTCGTCAACACCGAGCACTCGATTGTCGTCTTCTAGTTCACACTTTAGTATATCTCAAGATTTGCATTCAAGTTCGCGATTTTCCAAATCACTTACCGACATTCGTACGCTTCAATCGCGAATTAATAATGAGCTGTTACGTCCATTGGCACGTGATAGCTCATCTGTTCGCCATATTGACGATAGCTCTGAATTGGCGGCGAATCACATTTTAAATCCCGACATTTATGTTCGATGGCTGAAAAATAAGTGGGATATGGAAGAAAGTTTCCGTCGACAACGCAGTATGTCAGCACGATCGCATATCGATCACTATGCAAGTTTGGCCAAGAGTCGTTATCGCGACGCCTCATATCCGGCACGAATGAAATACCATTCGCATAGCTCACGGCATCATCCTGATATGCCATTCTTTTCGAAAACGATCAGAGGTAAACGATACATGACTTCCGATAAATTGCCCCCTTTTTTTGTTATCAATCTTACTTCTTCTTTTTTTCAATACGAAATCAAATTATTTTCTGTATCACTTTTTATGTTTGTTTTCTGTTGTTTTTCTTTTTACACTGTTTTCTGTTCGGTTTCATTGTTTTTCAATGGATTTATCTTTAAATCCAATTGAAAATCGGTGCGAAAAATTAATTTATTCAATTGAATCGCTTCAGATACATATAATCTTCATGCAAATGAATTGGTGTTGGATTGTCGAGTACGTGGCGAACCACGGCCAACAACAACTTGGACAAAAGACGCCAACTTTATCGACACAAATGATATAAACAAATATCAACAAATCGATCAACCAGATGGTTTGTGCCGTCTTGTCATCTTTAATCCAGAAGAAAAAGATAGCGGTTTGTACGCGTGCAAGGCAGATAATTCGGCTGGAGATGATAAAACATCACATAATGTTATATTCAAAGGTGCAAATTCGTACATAAATGAAAAACTACACGGTTATGTTCATCGTGATCCAAATAAGCCACAATTCCAAAATCAATTGGGCAATCATTTGGTCACTGCTGGCGGTACAATTGCTTTGCAAGCCGAAATCATCAACGAACCATCCGAAGTGAATTGGCTATGCGAAAAAGTGCCAGTTGTATTGGGCGATAAAGTACGCAAAATAAACGATCACGGTGTTTATACATTGGTGGTGACTGATGTGACTCAAGAACAAACCGGAACATATACATGTCAAGCCATTAATGCGTTTGGAAAAACAGAGGCTGTTGCACATGTTCACATTGTCGGACCATCGGTCAAAGGCGGCAAATGTCCATTGTTCTTATCACGTCCAGATAGCGAAATGAAAATTCAAACGGGCGATCCATTCTCATTCTCGTTCCGAGTTATCGGAGATCCAAAACCAAAATGTAAGCAAAAAACCAACCTAAACAGTTCACAAACAATTATTTATCGAAATTGGTGTTTTTCTAACGTGATTTTTTTTTCTTATTGTAGTGATTCTCTTGAAAGGAATACGTGACATTACACAAAACGATCGCACTTTGAAGGAGGCTCATGATGATTTCATTCGATTTAGTGTGCAGAATTCAAAGCCAACTGACTCAGGCACCTATTGCATTGTAAGGCCAATTGATTCGTTCATAGATAGGGCAATCAATCATATTTTGTAAATTATTTTTTTTTCAGGTGGCCAGAAATCAACATGGCACCGATCGTACATTTGTTAGCATAACGGTAAAATCACCAAAACAAAAGAAGTAACCAACAATAACATGCATCGATTCGTGAAACTCTCTTCAAATTGACATTGAGATTTACAATTGACGATTTACCCAAATACCAAAATGATACCTTTCTTCATTTACTTTCTGCAAACGCACGAATTTTACTAATTCAGTTTCATGTTTAATTTAACCAAGGAATTTTTATTAAGGAAAAACAACAAGAACGATTCTATTTTACAGCTGAACAACATTAACAAAATCAATATAAAAACAAAACCAAACCAAAAAAAATTGGCAAAGCAAAAATTCGATCATAAAATATATTGTACGAAATGGGCATAAAATTCATCGCAAATAACAAATTGATTACAAAAATGCTTAAATAACCATTATTAAAAATCTGATTTCCATTGAAGGTCTACTATAGATTCTTATTTACAGCAACTGCAATGAAGTAACTCTGCATTTTCTTGCTATCGCATGCTTTCAAATCGTCATATGACATGAAAAATAATGGTTCTCTTGAAAAAAAATTAAATAAATAAATAACGGCAAAAATCGTTTGAAACAAGCGAAGTAAGAAAAGGCAAAGTGTCTAATGTCATTTATATAATCGATAGGTTAAAGAAAGGGCTCGATCTAGCACACCACTCAGATCGAATTGGTCATATATTGGCGATGAATACGCGGATGTCTCATCATATCTTAAAAGTAAGTTTCACAATCGATAGGATTGACAGTTCATTGTGCTTTTACATTGCATTCATTAATTGCGCGTCAATTTGATTTTTTTTTTCCACAAATCCATTTTTTCCATTTAGCTCACTTTATCTCGTGGCATTTTTTCTTTCATTTGCTTTGTATTTTTTTTTGCGTTTATTTTATTTTTTATTTATTTTCTTCCCTATAGGCTTGAACGTATCTAGAGTGGATTGTTTATATTTTTTTCTATTATTTTGCTCAAACGAGCACATCTGATCAATAATTATTGCTTTGGTTTTGCCCAATTAATGCTCTACTAGATGTGGTGCTACTGATTTAAAAACATTTATGCTGTATTTTACATTTTCTTTTTACTCATAACCTCCTTCTTTTAGTATTGTAAGTTGAAAATTTAATAATGTATTTATTGCATACAAAACGTCCATGAGACGTTTATAATCGTTTATAATTTATAATGAATTTAAATAAATAAATACGATTGGTTCTCCGGAGTTCTTCAATGAAAAATAGAGACAAGTGTGTGTCCCATGCTTTATTTTTTTCTGTTTTGTATTGCTTTTAGCATGCTGTTAATAGTAACTGAAATCAGGATCAATTTTGTGCTATGTGAATCAGATTTGAATTGAATTTTTGAATTATTTGATATAGATCCGCCGGCGACAATATCATCGGAACCGATTGTTATCGACAATGGTAAGAGTCATTTATCATTATCCTGGGGTAAACCGATTTGTATTGATGCCGCACCGGTTATTGCTTATCGGGTTGAGGCTTGGTTAATTGGAGCTGAAGGCGGTGCCAGATGGTGTGAATTGGGCATTACTCCAATCAATTGTTTCGATGTATTTAATTTAAAACCGGGTGCACGATATCATTTTCGTGTTACGCCACGCAATCGGTACGGATGGGGACATTCAGTTCAAACATCAAATGCAGTTACGGTCGGTGCTTTTGCCATACTACCCGAATTTACGAAAATTTTACCGGGACAATTGAAAGTATTATTGGGTAAGGATTTTTCATTGGAATGCATTTACAAAGGCAGTCCAAAACCATCCATCGTATGGTATAAAGATGAAATTCCATTGAGCTCCGATCACGAACGAATTACAATGAAAATGGTGGGAACATCAACGTGTCGTTTGGAAATTCGAAATGTACAACCAAGTGATACGGGCAGATACATTTGCCAATTGACCAATTCACAAGGACGTGTATCCACATTTGCACGACTACAAGCCGTTGCTGACTACAAAATTTACGAAGTTGATAATATACTGAAGCAAAGAGTTAATGGAGATTCGGTACGGTTACAATTTTCTTCAATGTGTTCGCTTGAATTTTATTTGTAATCCATAAAATTAATACAATCATTAATTTAGGATATAACGGAAGATACATTGCCACAATTTGCAATGAGATTGCGTGATCGACGTGTACAAATGTCATATCCGGTACGTTTGACATGTCAAGCTGTTGCATGGCCTGCACCCAACATAACGTGGTACAAAGACTCACAAGTTATTACAGCAAATGGTTAGTTTACCTTTTTGAAAAAACAAAAAATGATTTAAGATAAAATTAAAACTTATTTTTCCATCGTATAGAACATTATGTGATTTTAAATGAAGACGCATTCAGTACATTGGAAATAACGCGTTGTACACTTGATGATACTGGCAGTTATACCGTTACGGTAAGCCTCGCCTCTATTTTTATCAATTGTCTATATAGCTATTATATAAAATAAAATGTTTGTCGGGATATTGATACTCATTTCAGGCCGAAAATGAGCATGGTTCGGTTTCGTGTCATTGTAATTTGATTGTTGATAAAGGTATTCGAGCTTATATTGCGCCTGAATTTTTGGGCTCCTTAGAACCGGAATACAAGGTCAAAATTGGACACGAAATCCGATTGTGTGCACAGATCGAAGCGTATCCATCAGTTGGTGTGAATTGGTATCGAAATGGAATCCGTATACGGCCCAGTCGTCGCATTGTGCCAACACTTGATGACGATGGATTTGTTGAATTAGTCATATCAAATGCAACATTGGATGATGCGGGCGCCTATAAAATTGTCGCAACAAATGCCGTCGGAAAGGCAGATTGTATGTGTAACGTAATTATTGAAAATTGTGATAGCAATGGCATGAACATTCCAAGCATTTTCGAGCCAAATATGCCATACTCAAAAGAACCAATGTTCGTTAAGAAACCACGATCGTTTGAAGCCAACGAAGGTGACACGGTGATAATAACACTGTGTGTAATTGGCGATCCAAAGCCTGACATTGTTTGGCTACGAGATTTTCTAAAGGTAAGCAACTGAATCAATTTACTTTAGCTTTGAATTTACTTGAACAAATGAATAAAAATAAAAATAAAAGAAATGGTGCTTGATCCAAATCAAGCCAATAGATCAAGGGTACTCTTTTTTCTTAGTTTTTCTTAACAAAATGCTGTAAATTGTGATCATTAATCACAAAAATAAATGTATATAAACTGTAAACACCATATTAACATCTCAACTATTGACAATCAGAACGTGTGTTGCTTCAATACACAATCATAAATCGTAATCCGTAATTTAAACGATTCGAAACAAGTAGCGCAACTCAATTCAATGATGATTCATAATATTAAAACATAATAATATAATTTTGGTGCACTCTTTTTGCTATTCGTTTTCGAACAAATGAACACCGTGCACTTCCAATTGAAATCCATCATTTTTTTTTTCATTTGATATTCCATTACGAGAATCGCAAATTTAATTTAGCAAAAAAGCATCCAAATCTAGTAAATATCAAAGATATTATTGAACATATGTTCGCTGCGGTATATATGCGATTTACCAAGAAAGCGTTGCAATGCTTATTCATATATACATAAAGGTAGCTAGGGTAATGTGATTTTTTTGGTATTTCACATCGACCAGAATTTGACTACCCATTCAAAAAATTTAAGATCAAAAAAGGTCTTCATTTCCAAAAATCAAATCGATCTGATCTTCAATTAATTGCTAATTAATTAAGCCTTTTATTGGAGCTCGGGAATATAAAAGATAGTGAAGATCATAGTTTATATGATATCCAAAGTATCCATATTACAGCCATCTTCCCCTATTAAATATATTATTTATTTTACTCATATTTGTTCGCACAATAGTTCGTACAGTCCAAGAATACTAAGTACTTGTGCTTGAGTTACATAAAATTTCTAATTCAAAATCTGTGAATAATGATTTGGTAAAATGAAGTGTTGTTCTTCAAAAATAAAAATAGAATGATGTGAAAACAATTGAATGGAAAAAAATGTGAGCTAGATGGATTGAAGACAAGCGAAGAATATAATATTTATTCCACACATTGTGTTGTGGAATAATGATTAGTATTGTTGTATCGGATAGTATCCAACGAAATTCATTGAATGCATTCATTTGGAAAATTTCTTTCAAAACTTAAATTCTATTACCTCCTTTCACTCGATTCGATCAAAAAACTGTGACTTTAAATGAAAATCTCAACACATACGTGAATTCTCTGTAACATACCAAAAACATCATTCTATTCGCAAAATTATCTCTAAAAGATAGATTTTTTCAAAGACAACTGTGTAATTAGCATCGGCCAATCAAAAAAGAAAAAACGTTTTTTGCTACATTATACAATTGTTTATCAGAAACCGATTGCATCAGTGATGATGAATGTACTTTTTCGTTTCTTTGTTGTTGATTTGTGGTTTTTGATTCAATCGGTGCATCTGATTTAATTGGTTTCGAGAAAACGAGAAGAATATACATTCGAATGATGTACACGTTGGTTGGCACACGTTATACACTAGATGCAATCTGATTGTGATATAGTAGGTACCAAGCGTCACACTTCGTCATCCCTTGAAAATAACGACAATCTATTTTCAACGTTCGTATAATAATCAAGCGATTATTTATTATGTGTCGAGTTGAATAACAATCGAGAGAAGTAATAGTCATCCATGCCTGCCGGTCGATTTCTTCCTATCTTGTTGCTCTGCTTTATTACCGTACAACTATTTTTTAACAATGAAGTTGTCATATCTGTCTCTCTGTGCTCGAGACACATTCACTTCCTGCATGCACTATTTTTTTTTGTTGAAAAATTGATCATATTTCACGGTTTAACCTTGATATATTAGTTACATGCATACAATGTATTGTAGTTCCATTTGTGTTAAGAAAAAACAACGCTGTTGAGAATTTCTATTATCATCACTATAGTAGAAAGACAATCATTTACTTTTATCGATTGTTGGCTTTTACTTTTTGAGATAAAGAATACGTTTTACAAAATGAAATTAATTTTAATTGAAAAAAAATTGAGCTCAACACTTAAATGGTGTACGTAGATCGTACGAAACGATTAAAAGTGAATTTTGCGCGTGTGCAATTACTTGAATCAAAATGAAATGTTCAAACGTGGTTTACCAAGTAATTGTTGCATTCGTGAGCAACAAATTGAATAAGTAAGGTGGACAATCGATTCGGCTGATGTAACCCGTGTACAAAAAAAGTGACTGACTATTTTGGGACAAACTGACTGACTATTGACTGTAAAAACAAGCAACCTTAGTTAAATTTAGTTAACTTCAATCAATTAAAGTAAGCTATGGTTAACTGCAACAGCTAACTATAGTTGACAATAATCATAGTCACCCGATAGTCAAAACGTCCCAAAATAATCGCTTGACTGACTGAGTAACTATAGTCGATTGTTTCCCATACAAAATTTTAAAATTCATGAATATAGCTAACTATAGTCACTTACAGTCAATAGTAACTTAGTCACTTTATTTCCACTCGGGAACCTTCCGGATCGGGTACGTGATCTGCCCAGAAAAGAAGAGAACAAAAAATCTTGAATCACGAAAACCGCATGACATGTAAGCTGTGTGATCGATGGACACATGCATAAAAATGGTTGGATATTGGTTTTGGCCCATTAACATTTTCAAAATCATTTTTCCAAAATGATTTGGCGTTGTGGTATATAGCATTCACACGTCAATCACATTTACATGACATTTTATGCAATTTTTCGTGTCTGTATATTTTTTTTTCCTCCACAACTTGAGTCATCAAATCATCGCTGAAGATTATCGGATAAATGTTCGCTTTCATACAATCACGACTCGCCTTTATAATGATTGTTTTTCTTTTTATTTATGTTTTTTTAAGAAGCGCAAACACAAGCGAAATAATTAACACATAAAAACCGTCAACCATTCTGGGTCTTACCAAAACTGGAAACACTTCATCGAAATTGAAAAATTACACGAAACCTCAGATAATATTTTTTATTTGATAGAAAAATGAAACAAAATGCATGACCAAAAACATGCGCAAAAATCAAATAGAAATAATAGTTCCATGGGAACGATTTGCTGATTGAAATTTGCAACGAAGAAACGCCACAAAGAGTAGAAAGAGACAAATATATAAAAACGTCCGCAATATTTGTTTTAAAATATATTAATTCCATTTTTCATTTCGGCTTTGATGAATTGATTCAACTGCATGTATGGCAATAAAGCATAGTGCGTATTAATCAGAAACCAAAGGTTTTTGTATTACATATAAGCATGTATTCAAAGATTTGCCACTGTGCATCAATCGAGCTGCGCGCACACACAACAAAGTATGATATATGAAATGAAAAAAAACAAAAACCACAACAACAACAACGTAGGATTTTTCTGAAATGATCGCCGTTTTAGTAGCACACGCAGTATTGGCATCAATATAGACGACAGTAGCAGTGGTAGTAGTTGTTACTTTTTGGTACTAGCAACGAATTACGGTGCACATTCGTTGATTATCCATCGGTAGTAGTCAGTTATGCTTTAGCCGTTGTCTCGCGTGGGTCGTTGTAGTTTTTCATCTCTTCGCTGTGTGCTCTTTTTTAATATTATCCAATTTTGCCAAATTGCACTTGTAAATGCCAGCAATTCTGGACATTTTTTTTTGCACACAGATAATTTGATTAAGTCTTTTCGACTTTTTGCCAACGATTTTTTTTTGTCTGTGAATATTGCACACTTGGCATTAATTGAATAAAGTACAGAGAGAAATACCGAATTATATGAACTTTATCAATCTGGTATGAAAACTGCATGTGATAAGATCACGATCACGATTCCAATTTTAAGTTTTGCACACATTTTTATCGCGATTTTAGTAACGTCTCGTACCGTTTTTTCGGTGTTTGTTGTAATTTTGTCTTGAGTTGAACTTCTTTCGGCTGGACACATATATAATTGCTTGACGAGTTGCAAAAAGAAAAATTGCATACAGTTCGCCTTTGGACATAATTTTTTTTCTATAAAGTGTTTGTATTTAGTTTCGGTTTATTTGATGTGTTAAATAAAAGCTTGATAATTATTTTGTGATTGACTTACATGTCTCTGTAGGCGATAAAATTGTAATTTATTGCATGTAGCGTGTGTTGCGCGATGTGTAAAAAAGTCGATCTCTACACATAATTTAATCAATTGACGAAAGAAAAAAACAGTGAACAATTATTGATTTATTAACTGCGCCGATTTTAATCAAACAAGACAACTCAACACATATAAAAAATTACCATTTGAATTATTGATGGATACGAGACAAAAAGTTAAACACACCTATAATTTATCCATTTGAATATTGTTTGCAAACATTGGAATTTGCTGTCCGGTATCATCATCACTTTCAGGTATATTTGATTCGCAGATGAACATTCTCTTATCGCTTAATCTAATTTACTATATTAGGCTGCAATTGATTTAATTGTGAATTCAAATATTTAAACATTTTACATTGAAGATCATCGGTGAATGTGCATGCTATGTGAATCTATGCACTGTAGAGTATTACAGTAAAACCTCTCAATAATGGAATCTATGGGGCCGAAATTTTTTCCCTACTATCGCGAGAGGTTCAATTCTGAACTTTTCCACTATGTGGATGTTTAAGGCGTTCAGCTGCTAAGGCCCAGCTGATATACCCTTGTGAAAAATTACTGACTGACTAGTCAGTTAACTAATTTGGGACGTTTTTGGCTAAAGCCAACTGAGATTGAAGTTGTTTTAAGTTGATTTGGCTAATTTTTTCAGTCAATTCTAGTAGAGACAAATACAACTTAATTCAACTTCAATCGCAGTTGGCTTTAGCCAAAAACGTCCCAAATCAGTCATCTGTTTAAAATGACATACATAGACGACTAAAGTCGACTGGGTAGACGACTTCCGTTTACAAAATTCAATTTCAGTCGATTTCAGCTAACCAGTCATTCAGTC